CCTGAGTATTGCTGTCACAATTTGGACACGTTCAGAAAATTTTCCATAGGAGTGTATGTTTAGATGTGTGACTGCGGTGGGTAACCAAGACTCAAAATAACAACTAGCAAGAAATAGTAGGTATACATCACTTCCTGTTTCACCTCCTCTCTCTCTGTCCCTGTCTCTGTCTCCTTCTCTGCTTGTGTCCCTCTCTCTGTCTCTCTCTGACACATACACACACACACACACACATACACAGAGACAAATCTGGCAAGTAAATTATAAGATGTATTAGGTGTGCTTCTAATATAGATCATACTGTAGTTCTTAGAATTCTCACTACCAGATGTTAGTGATTTGTGTGCAAAATGAAAAGTCACTTTCATTTTTTAACTATGAAGCTTTTTCATAGATAGGGAACAAGAGAATGAGCAAGATGTCTAAGCAATCCCCTCCCTGTCCCACAACCCTCCAGCCCTGAGCATCTGTGAGGATGTTATAGCCAGATAGCTGAGGATTCTTGAGGGCTGTGGGGACAGCCCTAGAGGGGGATTAGAAGAGTTGCCCATGTTCCACCTTCACCCCTAACTGGCAGTGTGATCTTGAACCAGTCTCTTCCCTTCATGTCTCTATTTATAAACACAGGAAGTTGAAAAAAATTCCTTTGAGCTAGTTACTTTTTTTCTTGTTAAAAATTTTATGGAGGCAAGATGAAATTTACCCTTTTAACATTTTTTTAAGTGTACAATAATACATTATTGTTGACTACAGGTACGAGGTTGTATAGCAGATTTTTAAATTTTTTTTAAAGATTTATTTATTTATGCATACAAGAATTGGGGTACAAGCCAGAGGTGCGGGGTGAGAGGATTCACCAGAGACAGAGTGGGGAGCAGAACAGACAGACTGAACTGCACTGCTGAGGAGAATAGTGGGCAAGTCTGCTGGAACAGTGGGATAGGTCTGCTGCACCATGTGGGTAGCTCTCTGGCCAGGTGGTGCTGCAGTGGCTGGTGATAGCTTGATAGCACTGTCTTTAACCCCTGCACCACCAGGGAGGACCGGTATAGCAGATTGTTAGAGCTTATTCATCTTGCTTAATTGATGAGCAAGTTTTATGAATGTATGAAAAGGACTCTAGTCTACCCCATTCCCCCAGGTAAAAGTCAGTCCTGTGTTACACTTGTGGCTCTTTTCCTCATTAGCACTTATCATCTCTACTTTTTTTTTTAATTGACTAATCTATCTCTATTAACATTTATCGTCCTCAAAATATTTGAACTGCGCCTCCCTGGTGGCGCAGCAGTTGAGCGCTGGGTTGCGAAGCTGCCCGTGGCCTCTGCAGCGCTGGTTCTATCCCCGGCCGCTGGCGAGGGTCCCACATGGCGCGCAGACCTCTCCTGCCGCCCGCTGCTCCCCTCAGCAGTGTACTTCATCATTCTGCCTGTTCTGCTCCCCGCTCTGGCTCTGGTGAATTCTCTCACCCTCCCATTCTTCTGACTGTACCCAGTGCTTGTATAAATAAATAAATAAATAAATCTTTTTAAAAAAATACTTGAACTGCAGTAGAGCAGAGTGGCTGTGCCTTTCCCCTGAATTTGTATGTTTTAGACTGTCCCTGGCACATAGTAGGAGTTCAATAAACATTTGTTGCCAGAAGTATTCCAGGTAAGCACTTACCCCACCCCTGCCCTGCTGGCTGTTTTGGGAAGCACTAGGATTTTAACTGGTGTTTGTGTGTTTTGTTTTGTTTTGTTTTGTTCTGACATTGAAATGATTATAAGCACTAGGTCTCTTTTCAAAAAATGCCCTTGTCCTATCCCGGGCCATGGAAGAAAGGAGGCCAGAATGAAAAGTTCAATTAGAACAAAATCAGTTGCCACCCATACTATGACATGGGGATTAACAAGCCCTAATGAGGAATTCTTTTTTTAGGCCAGGAATTGTTAAACATTGTGAAATCAGCACATCTTAGCATGATTTATGGAGTTGAACCGCCTTTGATTTCCTTTGGTAAACCATTACTTCAGCTGTGTTCATTCATTGGCTCATTTGTTTGGACAGGGTTTCTTTTTGGGCTTTACCGCATGCTGGAATTTATGCAAAGCTTGATGAGGGACACAAAGATGGGTATGTGCCAGGAGACCACAGCTAAGTAGAGGAAAGAGAATATGCCCCAGTACTGTGAGACTTACGAGTGGTCAGTATTTATGAGCCCATTTGATTAAAGCCTGTGTTTTGCTGCTAGACTGTCAGCACAGAAAGTCAGGGAAGAGATCTTTCTGTCTTGCTCAATATTGAATTCCCAGCGCTGAATAGTGCCTGGCACATAGTAGAAGTTCAATACATATCTGCAGAATGGGAAAGAAAACAGAAAGTGCCATGGGGATTGGAGAGCGAGAACTCAGTTTCAGCTGGGGAAATCCAGGATAGGGACTGATAGGGGCCTATCTTACAAATGAGGAAAGTGCCTCAGAGCGAGGGGTGTGATCTGCCCAGGGTCACATACAGATTCATATAAATGAGGTCACATGGTGGACCCTAATTCATTATGACCAGTGTCCTTATAAGAGGAGGAAATTAGGAACACAGATAAATATACAGAAGCAAATATACCATGCGAGAAGATGGCCAAAAAGCCAAGGAGAGAAACCCCAGGAGAAACCCCACTGCCAACAACTTTATCTTGGACTTCTAGACTTCAGAATGGTGAGGATATAAATTTCTGTTGTTTAATTCAGTCAGTCAGTCTCTGTACTTTGTTATGATAGTCCTAACCAAACTACTACACAGAATAAATGATGGTAAAGCTAAGACTGGAAGACAGGTCTGCTGAATCTCTATCCTGACTCCTTTATGTGACACCCCCCCAAGCTGGTCCATGCAGTACTCTTCCCAACAGCCACTCCTGGCAAGGACGACCACAATGAGGATGATAATAGCTAAGCCACATATAGCACCCATTATGTAATGCACTCTTCTAAGTATTTTACATACTTAATGCTTATTACAATCTCTCGACAGCCCCATGGAGTAAGTACTATTATTGTCCCATTTTTACAGATGAGGAAACTGAAGCCAAAGAGATTGAGCAACTCATACAAGAACACATAACAACTCAGTGCTGGGGCTGGGATCCACACCTAGGCAGTTGGCTCCTACCCATCATGCTTTTCTACTGTGGTATGTCCACCAGCCAGAGGTGTTTTCAAAGATAAGAGGTAATGACAGTTTTAGGATTTATTTGCTCCAGAATCTCCTGATGTGTTAGGATAGGGATGCATAGGTATTAAAATAGCAGATTTCTAGCCTCCCTCAAGTTCAGAGTCATCTTTTAATTCAGTCCTACAAAGTAAAAGAACCAAACCACTTAGGCTAAAACACTGTGGGGTAAGAAACCTGGGTTTGAATTCTCTCTCTACCACTTTCCAAGTTGATTATATTTGGTTTATGAAATCACTGTGAAATCCATTTTTCTCCTGAGAGATGGGAAAAGAAATACCCATCTCATGGGCTGGACATAGCATGTGCACAAACACTGTCATGGGTGCAAATACATAGGAAGTTATTAAAAAAAAAAGCAGAACTCCTATTAGTTATGCAAAATAACTATAAACAAAGGCTCTCTTTCTCCTGTGAAGCCTTGCCCAAAGTCTCATCCTAGTGTGTCCAAATTAATTGCTCTCTTCTGGCTCTCACAGGAAGTTCCTTGCACTTCTATTTGTCACTCCATTTGTCCTTCCTTGTATGATGACACACCCATCCACATGCCCATCCACTAATTAAAACTGTACTCAGAATTCTCCATGTTTCAGTGCTGTGCTAGGGACTGGGAGTTTAGAGATTTATACAACATGGTTTCCACCCTCAAAAAGATTGAGTTTTTAGGGCAAACCAGGGCTGGTGTGCCCAATAAGCAGGGATCCAATACTACTACTACTAATAATAATAATAATATAGTAATAATCTTTTTATGATTTTATTGTAATATAATAGTATTTATCATGGGAGAACCCACCACTCGGTTGAATTTCTAGGCATATTTTATGAGTTAGTATTATTTTTACAGAGTAAGGGAGTCTTAAATGCTTTCAGCTCTTTCTAACTTCTGAAGGTCTTAATCTGGTTGAGGTTGGCAACAGACACATGAAGGAATAATTACAGAGAATTGTGTTAAGTGCTAGGCCAGAAAAGGTCCTGTGTTTTGGGAGGCTGAGATAAGAGCTCTTTATTGCCACACTAGTGCCCCCTCAAGCGCAGAAATCAATTTTTAGCTTCATAGGTGTGCTTCCAGTTAAACAGAACTTCGATGCCAGCTCCTTCACTGCCGTCCACGAAAGGGTGTGGGCATTGTGGGGTGAGTGAAGGGCTCTTGCTTAATCCTCCTCTAGCCAGATGTTGAACACATATTTTTCTCTTTTGTATGAGGAAGCAGATGGCCAGATGGTGGAAGTGACTTGCCCAAGAAAGGCAAATGCTTTAATAGTTAACATGCACTGGTTCCTTATTGTCTGTCAAACATCGATGGAGGAGGGCAGATCTTTAACATGCTTTTTCTCATTTAATACTTTTGATAGTTCTGTGGAGTAAGGAGCTTAATTTCCCCCATTTCCCAGATAAGAAATCTTAAAGTAAGATACTCTCACAAGATCTTTTAACTATTAAGTAATCAAGCCTGTATTTGTTTTTAATACATGGTAGTTGACGTTGGATTAATAGCCTGATCCTGGACCAGCACTGGGGCAGGATGGGACATGAAGGACAGGTGGACACCTACCAGGTCAAGGAGCTGTCTCTGCAGGGAGCTGGAGGCGCTTGGCAGGGGCGGGCCGGGGGCGGGGCCCGGGCGGGCCAGGGGCGGGGCCCCGACTCACGCCCACCACTGAGCTTCCCGGCAGAGACAAAGTCCCGCCCCCGACCGACGGGAGGACAGGGATTGGCCCTCCCGAAGCCGATTGACGGCTGGGGGCGCGTGCTGGGGGCCGCGCGGAGGTGGGGGACCCGAGCAGGAAGTGGGAGTCGAGGCCGCAGGAGGTAGTCTGCAGAGCGGGCTTGGCCGCCACTTTGTCGCGTCGCTGCCGCCGCTGGGGCGATGGAGGGCCCGGGGCTGGGCTCGCAGGTGAGTGCGGCCGGGCGCTGACCGTCCTGGGGTTCCGGGGCGCGTCTGCGGCTGTGGAGAGAGGCAGGGTGTGGGTGCGCAGCCAGTCTTTAGAAGGACCCCTGGGTGCGGAGGGGCCTGGGCCGGGGAAGGGGCTGCAGGGAAGCGCCCAGAACCGCGCTGGGTGTTCGCTCCGAGGCTACCGCGACGTAGAGGCGAAGACAGTGGTGAGTGCTATGGCCGCCTCTCACCTCTTCCACATGCGGGCTTGGGCGCCCCCTGGGGCCGGTATCCCTCCCTTCTCTTTCCCCCTTTTCGCCTTCACCGCTTCTCAGACCCTTAACCCTCCAGTCCCTGGAGGGCGAGGCTTTGGGGCCCGGAAGGGGAGGGTGGCCATTGCTTGAAGCAGGTGTCAGGTGACACACCTGACTTGGACCAGACCTCCTTGACCTATGCCTGGAGTCTGCGAGGTTCTATTGATCTTTTCAGCCCAGGCGCCTGGGCACCAGCCTGGGCCACACCCACCCCAGTTTTAGGTCTTGATCCCATCATCCTTGCTAATTCCTTGACAGAACCCAGGCAGGAAAAACGGCGGTGGGGTGGGGGCTGGGGTGGGCAGGTGGGGGCGGAGGAGAGATGGAAAAGGAGGTATCTAATAGTTATCTGCAAAATCCCAAAGAACTCTTACTCTGTGGAGGAAGTTTTACCCAAAGCCAGATGTAGTTCTAGAGAACAGAATGGTCCAGTAGGAGAAGTTACTGGAGAAAAGATATTTTTTTCTTCTTGCTTATGTTCCTAACTCAGTGCCTAGAGCACTCCCTGGCATATTTTTGTTTTTTGTTCACTTAATATTTATTGAATAAATGCAGACTGTCCAGATGTAGCCAGCATTTAGTGAGTGCTTATTATATGCCAGACACATTATTTTATAGCAGAATTGAAGTATCCTTAAGAAGATGATATCTCCACTTCCAGATGAGAAAACTGAAGTTGGCTCCAGTTGGAGAAAATTAGGTGATGGTTTTTCTGTCCCTAGTGGGATTCACAGAGTTTGAGATGATTGAATTATTGGCCTCTCAAAAACTCTTCCTAATCCCAAGCATGTTTCTTATGCTCCTCCATTCCCTTTTTTCATTCAACAGTCTGATAAAAGTTTAAGTGAGGAACAAGGCATATGATGGGAAGTTGTCAAAGTGTTCTTACTAGGTGGTCTTGCATTTTGACAGAACAAAGAAAGATTTGCAAGCTGACTGAATTTTATAAAAGGGCATAGACTCTTTAGATAGAAACTGTATTTCCCCCTCTACCCCCCCACCCCCCAGTATCAAGGAAAAGTTGGTAGGAGTAACTACCATATCTTAATTACTGCCACTCATTTACAAAAGCCTTCAGGTGCTTAAAGGTCACTCCCTTATGTTGAAGGGAAGGTAGCCCTGCCCCAATTCCATGACAAATGGATGGAGAGAATGATTCAATCAGAGGTTGAAATTAATGGGACAGAATAGAGATTATTGTTGTTATTAATAATAATTGCTGTTCACTTTGTCACTAATAATGTGACCATCTTACCCACATATGGTACACTATATTTTGCAAAATACTTAACCAATTTTGATACTCAATGTGACCCTGTGAGGTGAGGAGAAATTGTTATTTTCCTTTTGGAAATTAGAGGTGAGGAGTCATTTGTTAAAAGTCAAATAGCTGCTAAGTGACAAAGCCAAGATTCATTTATTCTGCTATGTGTTAGCCACCGTTAGGTGCTAGAGATAAGTCAGTGAATGAAACAGACAAATATATTTCTGCTCTGGTAGAATTTGACTCTCCTGATTCCAACCTCAGAACTGATGGGATTTTTGCCAGAATTTGCCTATACAGTCTGACTTCATTTTTTTATTACTTTTTTGCTTGTTCAGTAAACACTAGCCACACTGCCCTCAAGGCTTTTGAACATATTATTAGCTCTATCTAGAATATTCTTTCCTCCTCAAATCTTATGGCTTATTGTGTCTCTTTTAAGATCTTGACACACATGACTTCAGTGTTGTAAACCCTCCCCATTCTCACCACCACCAGCATCATTCCCTGACCGCCTTCCTTGCTTTATATTTCTCCTCAGCATTTAATACTATTTAACATACTTCTGTGTCTTGTTTGTTGTCTCTTTTCTCCGCACTGAATGTGAGTGCTATGAGGGGCAGTGAGTTTTAACTATTATGTTCAGTGCTGGGAATGTTAATATGGGTACTTCGGTTAATATTGGGAGAAATTTTGATGTGTCGCTCTGTTTTTCTTTTTTTTTAAGATTTATTTTTTATTTATACAATAGCTGGGGTACAGGCCAGAGGCGCGGGAGGGTGAGAGGATTCACCAGAGACCAAGTGGGGAGCAGAACAGACAGACAGACCCAAAGCACTGCTGAGGGGAGTAGCGGGCAAGACAGGAGAGGTCTGCCTTGCTGTGTGGGAATCTACCGGGCCAGCCGGGAATTGAACCCGCACTGCAGAGGCTGCAGACAGCATCGCAGCGCTGTGCTCAACCTGCTGCGTGTCTCTCTGTTTTTCTTGATAATCTGGCAGAATAGTGACCCTCATCAGAGTGTGAGTGTGGTTTTCTGCATCCTTCTTTTTGCTTAAATAATTTGATTCATAATGTCCCCATGTGAGAAATATGTGATCCTTTATATCTTTTTTAAACATACTTTTTTAAAAGATTTATTTTATTTATGCATACAAGAACCGGGATACATGCCAGATGTGTGGGAGGGTGAGAGGATTCACCAGAGACAGAGTGGGGAACAGAACAGACAGATTGACTGAAATACACTGCTGAGGGGAGCTGTGGGCCAGACAGGAGAGGTCTGCTGCGCCATGTGGGTATCTCCCTTGCCGGCCTGGATCAAACCTGCGCTGCAGAGGCTGCACAGCTTCACAGCGCTGCGCTCATCTGACTGTGCCACCAGGGAAGCCCATGATCCTTTATATCTTTAAGATGTTCCAGTTATCTAGTACTGTGTAATAACCTCCCCACCCCCATAGTAGCATAAACCAGCTGTTGTCATGCTTCAAAACTGAGTGGCAGACATTTGGACAGTTGTGACAGGGATAGTTTGTTTCTCTTCCACCATATTTGGAGTCTGCTAGAAGACTTAAAAAGCTGAGTTCCTTGATAATGGGACTTGGTGTCATCTGGTGGTATTTTCAATCACATGTCTGGCTGTTGAGCATCTTCAGAGAAAGAGAGGAAGCTGCCGGTTATTGTAGCCTGTGTGCCTGCCGGCAGGCAGAGCATCTACACCATTTACAAGTGAAGTAGTCACAGCTCTGATTCGAGCAGAAGGGACACAGATGCTCTCCTCTTGATGGAAAAGTTTCAAAGAATTTTGGGGCTTTGTTATAAAAATCATCATAAATATATACATATTTTTTTTTCATAATGTCTTGCTTTTCTCCCCCTCTGTGGAGAAGAGTATTCAGCTTATTACATATCTCTTTCTTGGTATCCTTTTTTTTTGGATCTTGTCTTGTGTCTACAACAGAGTCTGGCATATATTAGGTATTCAGTAAATATCTGTTAAGTTAAAGAATCACAGCAGGAATCACATCTGATTCCTCTTTTATCCCTAATTACTGCGTACTCTGATTGCTACGTGGTAGGTATTCTTTGTATTTCCCTGAGTGAGTGATTATTGAAACTCTTAGGAGTTTGTGGGCATCATGAATATCTGCTTAGTCTATTGCTTTATCTTTTTTTTTAAAGATTTATTTATGCGTACAAGAACTGGGGTACAGGCCAGAGGCGTGGGAGGTAAGGAGAATCACCAGAGAGAGCAGGGAACAGAACAGGTGGATCTACTGAAATACACTGCTGAGGGGAGCAGTGGGTGAGTCAAGAGAGGTTGGCTGCACCATGTAGGCTGCTCCTTGTCTGGGGATCGAACTCGTACTGCAGTGGCTGCTGATAGCTTAATAGGTTGCATCTTAACCCCTTGCGCCACTAGGGAGGCCCTGGTCACTAAGCTTTTTTGATCATGTACTCCCAATCAGTAAAGCAATGTTGAGTTTGTACCCATTAGAGTAAAATGCCACCAAGTTGTGAAAAGTAGCATCCAAAATTTTCATTTTTATAAAATGTCATGTATTGTGAGAATAATGGGATGCTGAATGGAGCCTGCACCACCATCTTCCTGGAAGCTGCTCTGGCTAAATCATCTAATAGTGATCACTTTGTTTGCTTGCTTCTTTTTCTTTTTACTATTATTTTTTCTTATATATATATTTTGTATCTTTTTTTAAAGACTTATTTACTTATTTTATACAAGAACAGGGGTACAGGCCAGATGTGCAGGAGGGTGAGAGGATTCACCAGAGACAGAGTGGGGAGCAGAACAGGCAGATCTACTGAAATACACTGCTGAGGGGAGCAGTGGGTGTGACAGGAGAGGTCCGCACCATGTGGGACCCTCCCTGGCCAGCAGGGATGGAACCGGCACTGCAGAGGCTGCTGACAGCTTCACAGCGTGGCGCTCAACCGCCTGTGCCACCAGGGGAGGCCCTTTAATATCATTCTTCATTTTTGTACAATGTATGCTTTCTCCTCATAGGTGAAGTCCCTGTGAAATTCCCACCACCATGGTCCATCACCATAGTCCTTTGTGTTCCTCCCGCCCGTTTTGATCCTTCCCCCTCCTCCTCCCCTGCAGAATGTCTTGATTTATAGTTGCCTATTGATTTTGATTTTTAATTTATTTTAATTACTTTTTCCCTCCGATCTGTTATTTGTTTCCTCTACATTCCTCCCATAGTGTGATCACTTTGATTTACACATTGACGGGGATGTTTTTGTGTCATGTGATTGACGGACTTAAAAATTTTAGCCCCTCTGTTTGATGTACATGGGAGCTGGGGACAGATACTAATCTGTCATGGGGCACTTGGTTATAAGATTTGACAATATATTTCTAAACTATATTCATTCATTACTAGCTCAATATATATTCCTGGCGAGGTTTTGAATTAATACTAGTGAATATAAATCTTTTTTATTAGCCTTTTTGGTAACTTTGAGTCTTTTTGGAAGAGAGCTAACTTTTTGTTAGATTAGATTAGATATCTTTGTTTTTACTGCATATAACTAGTGAAGGGCTCCTGCTATGAACAGTGTCAGTGCTGCCACTCCTTAGTTATGCCATTCTCTAGCTTATTCTATTACTGCATTTTGTGATTCTTTGTAGGAATTGCTTAAGCCATGTGCTCATTTTGGGAGGGGGAATTTAGTTAAATTTAGATAATATGGTTTGAAAATTATTTAACCTCATGCAGACTGTAATAGGCTAAATGTGCTATTGTCAACTTCTCTGGGTTGTGGAACTTTCACTCTGACCCTAGGTTACCACGCAAATAGAATATGGTGTGACCAGCTTGATAAGAAGCTTTGTTGAGACTTGTTTTATGGTCCAATATATGGTTTATCTAGGTGAGTACAAGTACACTTGAAAAAAAAAAAAAGTTGCACTATTATTGGTTGGAGTTTTATGAGAACAAGTAGATTCAATTTGTAGATAGTGCTTTGTACCCTTTTCTGATTCCTACCCTTTCCTCTTCTTAATGTGGTTTCTATTTACTCATTCTGTTACTGAAAGAAGTGTTGAAATATGTTACTATAACTGTTCATCTTTCTGTTGTTCTTTTCACTTTCTTTAGCTTTTGCTTCATGAATTTTAAAGCCCTTTGGGTATATTTACATTTAAGATTATTATGTCTTCTTGATGATTTGACTCTTTAATTTTATGATATGTCCCTCTTCATCTCTGATAGTATTTTTTGTGCTGATATCTGCTTTGTCTTATATTAATATAGCCACTATATTTCTTATGCTTAGTGTTTTTGGAGCATAACAATTTCCATTTGTTTTTAACCCATGCGTGTTTATATATTTAAAGCAAGTTCATTGTAGGCAGCCTATAATTCTAGAGTTTTTACTTGCTAGTTTGTTTGATTTTTTGAAATCCAGTCTAACAATTCTTGTCTTTCATTTGTATTTTTTTCAGGACATTTGCACCTAACATAATTATCAGTATGGTTAGGGGTAAATATGTCATCTTGTATGTTTTATGTTTTCCTTATTTCCTCTTTATTCTTTATTCATAATCTATTTTTTCTCCCTTTCAAAAATATTTATTGAATAATTTAAAATTATTTTATCTCTGTTAGTGACTTATTATATCTTTATTTGGCAGTTGATCTCGGGATAACATTATACACTTTTAACTTACCACTGTGTACCTGCAAATACTATTATAGCATCTCATATTCTCCTGTTTCTCTACTTAATCATTAAAATTTTTATAATGAAAAAAAAGTCTGTTGTATTTATATAGTCCTGGCACTCTTTATCCTTTATATTGATTTAGATTTCTGTCTGGCATTAATTCCCTTTAGTCAAAGAACTTCCATTATCATTTCTTGTAAATATAGATCTGCTAGTAATTTTTTCAGATTCTGTTTGTCTGAAAAAGTATGTCTTACCCCTATTTTTAAAAAATATTTTTGGTGGTATTTCTAGTGTGTAGTTTTCTTCTTTCAGTTCTTTAAAACTGTTGTGCTTTTGTCTTCTGAATTGCATTCACTAATGAGAAGTCTGAGTTCATTCTTATCTTTGTTTTCTTGAACATAATATGCCTATTTCCTTAGTTTGTTTTAAAGATTCTCTCTTTATTATTACTTTTTAATAGAGGCATGTTTTATTTATTTATTTGTTTATTTGTTTGTTTGTTTGCTTATACATGCATTGGGTACAGTCAGAAGCGCAGGAGGGTGAGAGAATTCACCAGAGCCAGAGCGGGGAGCAGAGCAGGCAGAAGGACTGAAGTACACTGCTGAGGGGAGCAGCGGGCGGCAGGAGAGGTCTGCGCGCCATGTGGGACCCTCCTCCGTTGGCCGGGGAGCAGCCGGGGATCGAACCGGCAGAGGCCACGGGCAGCTTCGCAACCCAGCGCTCAACCACTGCGCCAACGGGGAGGCCCTACTTTTTTAATTTTGATTATGTTATGCGTAGGTAGTAAGATTTTAAAGTTTGTCCTGCTTGGGTTTGTTGAGCTTCTAAGTGTTGTGTATTTCTAATTTTTGCCAAAATTGAGAGATTTTGGCTGCTCTTTCTTCACATATTAGAAAATATTTTTTCCTCCTCTCCTGGGACTCCAATTATACATATTCAGTAACTTGACTCACTGAGGATAGCCTTAAGGAATGTTTGCCACAACTCCCCAAAGCAGAGGCCTGGAAGCCTTCCTACTCTGTTAATAGCCATGACCCTCCGCCTACTACAAGTAACAAAGTCTGTTTGTGCCTTTGCAGATGACCTTTGATTTTTGCCAAAATATGTAATTTTCTGATATTAAAAATCTAATTCTAGTGAACAGCATTAAGATGAAGATCTTCCCCTGAGATACCTGTCTAAGACTTAAACAAAATTTTTTAATTGAATAATATAGATATGGCTGATAGTAATAAATACTTTTCTATGCAAGTGAATGAGACATTGATTTTCTTACTATGCTCTTTCAAATTACTCTTACTCTTCAGTGCAGGAATCACAGCCACGGCCCCCACCATCCTCCAGGATTTGGTCGACTTGGAGCCTGTGCACATGAAAACAAAGAACTTGCCAAAGCAAGAGAAGCTTTTCCTCTTATAGAGGACTCTAGTAACTGTGACATTGTAAAAGCTACTCAGTAAGTCTTCCCAGTATTTTGTTTGTGTTCTCTTGAATTCTAATGATGTCTATGCAGTTCACTGCTCTCCAATCTATACCTTCCTCATTTGTACTCCAGGGAGTGTTTGTCATACCACCATCAGAGCCTTTATACAGTGTACCTGGACTGTTTATTCCCAGACTCCCTGATTACATCATGAGCAGCTGCATAGCAAAAGCAAGTCTTTTTACTCCCAGTGCTTTTGCACAGTCCCTATCTTATACCCCAATAAGTGAATAAAGGATTAAATCACACTAATACTAGGCTCTAAAACAGAAATCTGGGTCTTTTAAATTGTTTTACAACCTGAATATATTGCTGGAATAGAAAAATAACAGGTCATACATTTATGGACATTTTAAACAACTGTTTATTGAGTACTTTCTATGTTCCTATTGTGTTACATGACCCAGAAGAAAAGTAATAAAGTGGAAATAGGTTTTCTGTCCCCCCCGTCCCCCAAAACATACGGTGGGTTATTATGCTTACACTGAAAATGGAGGTATGCTTTGAAAGTTTTCCTTTAGGATGTGTATATGGATGTGCATTAAATCACTTCCCACATTTTCAACTTTCTGGATCTCAGTGATTATTAACATCCACCCACTCTTGCCATTGAACATACTTTGAAATATTTTGTTTATAGGACTATATTAATTAGGCATTCATTTTCTTAGTAATCAAATATAAATCTGCCCATCAGAGCTTCTAATCAGCATGAAAGGTACTAATGTTACCTCACTGATGATATAATTTTTATCAAAAGTAAATGATTGGTGATTAATTAACCTGTTTGGCCTTAATGTGGACTAATACATTACTTATGTCAGTTAAAAAGTAATTGGCAATTATTTGAATATTCTAATTACCAATTTATATGTACTCTCAAGGCTCTGGGAACCGCTGCTTTAGGTCAATGTTCTTTGATATTATTTAAATTGCTATATTTATATAAAGATGAGAATGTTCTTAAAGTAAGTCTTTGCCTTAATTAGACTGAAAACTTTTAAGTGTTTCTTTGCTACTAGTAAAACCCTGTATAATAAATGTGAGAAAAGAGGCTGCATTTACAGGGAATCTTAATAAGAACTCCCATTTACAAGTTTCTTAGAATTATTATTTCCTTCAGGTATTTGACCTTTGTCTCAAGTGGTTGTGGGAAGACCTTAGGTAGTATTTGGGTAAGGCAAAAAAAAAAAAAAAAAGGCGAGAGAGAGAGAAAGAGAGACAGACAGATAGACAGACAGAATATAAATGTATGTGTTTTCTAAACCACCAAAATTCTAGTGTGTACTCGTATATTTCTCAAGTGGAAAGTATTTCTTTTCCAGTAAAATATTTAAATTAACATTTAAAAAATGGAGAATAAAAGTAGATATGTTGTTAACAGTTCACTCATTAATATTTTTACTTAGCATTATAGATATCCCTATTTTTAAAAACACCATAAAGACAGACAAATACGCACATATTTTGGTGAGACAAATTACTGAACAGCATGAGAAACGGTAACAATTCTGTCATGTGGTTTCATTTTGACTCTTAAAGTCTACTGAAACTTACAAGTTCCCCTAAATAGTAGTAAATTTAAAAGAAAAGCAGTATTTTTCACTCTGATAGTCATTTGAATAACTCTTACTCACCTCACAAGTCCATTCTTCCTTTGCCATTCCAGTGCCTCTCTTATTTTAGAACCTCACTGCCTCACCTGTATTTATTGTGAGAACCTCTAACCTGGTCTGCCAGCCTTTGCCTCACCCTGTTCTAATTAGCTTCCATTGACACTAAAATTATCTTTTGTAAAACTCAAAGTATGAGTGTTTTCCTTTTTAAACCTGCAATGCTTCCCCTTTGACCTGTAAAGTCTAAACCTCATAACTTGGCATAGAAGGCCTGTTCAGTTCTGCCTACCTTTCTTGGCTTTATCTCTTACATTCCTTCTCTTAAGCTTTATGCTTCTGCCACGCTACATTGCCTACATTTCTCTGAATATATATGCAGTTTCATACCTCTGATTTTTGTGCTTGCCTTCCCCCTGAAATGCCCTCCCTTCAGCCTAAACACATAGGATATATATTCTGTTTCATCTTCCTCAGGAAAGGCTAATCATACCTTCCTCTGCTGTACCTAGGAGATGTCCATGTTTTGTTGAACTTATCCCATCCTAAGTTTACTTTCAGTCCCTCCTTTCCTGTGAGGTCACTGCATGGGCTTGGTTTGATTCAGGGATAAGATTGTAGCCAGGAATTGGCACCATGCATTCCTGGCTCACAGTAGAGGATCAAATGAAAGTTATTGCAGGAGGGCAAATGTGAATGTTCAAGTTTATTTTAAAAAATCAAGTTCCATTCCAAATAGATTAATCTGATCAGTTAGTATACTAGGTTTGTTTTTGTTGTCTAGCTTTGCAACACGCATAGCTTTGTTAATTATTGTATTTTTGTGTTGACTAAAAGCAGATTGGATAAAAAATATGGTAAAAGGAAGAAACTTTGATGTTTCAACTGATTTTTATTGATGTCAATTATGCTTCTTTTCTTATTTGAGATACGGAATTTTTGAACGATGTAAAGAGTTGGTGGAAGCGGGATATGATGTCAGGCAACCAGACAAGGAAAATGTGTCACTTCTTCACTGGGCTGCTATTAACAACAGACTGGATCTTGTCAAGTAAGATGGGGTTATGTGTGTGTCAATTGAATGTGTACTTAGAATTCTAGACCTCTCCTTCATTTGTCTTTTCCTTCAAGTACATGTATGAATATTGAAATATCTGTAATTCTTTATTGTAAATGAATGCCTGAAGCTCTGTGCCACACATATTATTTATCATAGCATTGTAAAGGACCGTAGAGACCATCTAGTCCAGGCTTTTGTCATTGACCCAAAAGAGAAAGTTAAAGGCACAGGAGCCCATCAGAAAGTTCAGGTAATGAAATTTCAGGTAAAAAGGAAACATATAATATAAACTTTGTTAGGATAGAAAAGAAAGTTTCATCTAATTTAGAAGAAACTTTGATTTACTTTATGTTGAAATAATGTCAGGAGGAGTGGATGGTCAGGGAATAACTTAATCTTTAACTTTAAAATATGAAATGCATTTGTAGTAGGCATGTATTGAATTGTGGAAAATATTTCTTCTTCATAAAGCACCACTGCTTACCCAACCTCTGTTTGTTTTATACCTTAGCATGGGAAATATACATATATATGTGAATGTGTATATATTTTGTGTTAAACATTTTAAATCCTTGAAGTTTAAGAAAATAAAAATATATACTAAAGTTTAAAGTATTCAGATAACATATGCACATGCCAGCTCCTCTTCTATGGAAACAGACTTATATTTAGGTAATGTGATATATGAAACAGAACTTAAAAACAATGAGATTAATTTCTATAAACCACAGAAGAAAATAAGTCATTTTACCTTATACGTTCACTTTGACAGTGTTTTGCATCTGTTCCCCCAAAATAAAGAGCAAAATACTCCAAATATCTCATTTTCAGAAAGAATTTTTTTGTTTTTGTTTTTTGGTTTTTTTTTTTTGTGGGACCCTCGCTGGTGGCCCGGGATCGAACTGGCACTGCAGAGGCTGCAGGCAACCTCGCAACCCAGCGCTCAACCACTGCGCCACCAGGGGAGGCCCATTTTCAGAAAGAATTTTAAGTTTTATTTTTACTAGTTGCTTTTAGAATTCATTCCCATGTAGTATTGCTAATTTTAAACTTTTAAAAGTGATGTAATATCACCTTTCTTCTTGAAAATTAAGTCAAATATCTGTGTGATTCCAAGCCTCTTGAATAGAAACCATCCCAAAAGTGTTGCGATAATTCAATATGCAGAGTAGTTATCAAATGTTTGGCATGTTAGTTGTAAAGGGATGCTCTTTGCAGCAGGATTAGTTATGTATGTGCTAAGCATATTTCACCGGGCATCTGTTTGTTGCTGTGAGTCTTTCATACTTTTGTAGATCTGAAGTTGTTAACTGTAATTTCTGTTTTCCAACACATTTACTTCTAAGAAAAATTAGTGTTTTTTCTCAATATGAATTTCAAGTTTTAAATCTTATTTTCATTTATATCTGCTTTGAACAGGTTTTATATTTCAAAAGGTGCTGTGGTAGATCAGTTGGGAGGAGATTTAAATTCAACTCCTCTTCATTGGGCCATCAGGTAAAGCTTTCTTTAAACACTGAAATTTTTGTTCAAAATCAGAAGTGAGTTAAAGTGTTTCTCTGAGCATGATAGACAATTTTTTCCTATAGAATTTTCTTGTGACTGTGAAATGTTTCTGTGCTGTCCAATGTGGCAGCCACTATGCATGTGAAATATGAAAGGTAACTTGGAGAAACAACTAAGGAATTAAAGTTTTAATTTTAACTAATTTGAACTTAAAATAGCTAAATGTGGCTAGTTTGAAAAGATTCCAGAGACAATGTCTTTGCATTTAATTTAGGACTCTGCTATACTGTGAAAACTGAAATATCTGGTTAGACTTTGTTTTGTAGTCAGATATCTTTTGTTTGACCACATGGATAAAAGCAATAACTGAGTGCACTGTAAACTCAATCAGGCTTTTCTCTGGGATGTATTGACCATCCAAAGTTGAAGCTGATAAGCACCTGTCTTGATATTTAGCAACTTCATTTTTTATTTTGACCCTACTTTCTGTGCTTGGTAGGATTAACATGAACCTGAAACTAAAGTGAATTACTGTTCATTTAAGGCAAGGAGTCATATTTTTTCTCCCTACCCCAGAGTTTTAAAGAATTAAGGATTAACTTAACCACTTATGTTACTTTATGTAGAAAATGAACCGTATTTAACAACAGTATTACAGTATACTTGCAGTCTACAAATGTCATCCTTCTACATCCCTGGCTCATGGTTATTTTTTTGTTTATAAAATAGCAACAGTGAAGTTCAAGTTGTTTTAAAATTTTCATTTTAGTGTGTAGAATTATTACTTATACATGGTAGTAACATGAGATTTAAGGTAGATTGGGAGGTTAGGTTTATCATCTGCCCTCAAGGACTATCTAGAGATTTCTAAGTTTGGAACATCTAAGTAAAAGATGATGGAAAATCTCTAGCATTTTAAAAATCTTACTGATTGACAATGCTCTTTTGTCTAAACAAATCTTAAGGATATGAGTTTCTCCATGAATTGTTTTCTTTTTCTGGATACCGTATAATTTTTGTCCTTTATTTTCAGACAAGGGCATTTACCTATGGTCATATTATTACTACAGTATGGTGCAGACCCCACTCTCATCGATGGAGAGGGTTTCAGCAGCATCCACCTTGCAGTATTATTTCAACACATGCCCATTATAGCATATCTCATCTCAAAAGGGCAGGTATGTTTTGAAATGTATCTTATAGCTACTGTAAATCTGGAGAGATTGGGAGGATGGTTAGTAGTGCTATGTCCTCATTTTTAAAGTGTAAGTGTTAGGTAGCCTCATATTCATCTGCTCACCTCAATAAGTCTAGCTATTAACTACTGCTTTTCCAGCTTCATTGGGGCAAAATTCCAATGGTGTTTCTGAAACTGATAAGCCTGTAATACTTTATGATCTCACTAATTTGAAGAGTTTTTCAAAACATGACCTCACACCCTGCATTTTTCTTCTGGTTGAATGGTAGTCAGATCACTGTCACTAAATGAACCCATCATTTGCTTTCATTACTTGAGTCCACATGGGAGAACAATTTGAGTGTATGCTTCTTATTGTTCTCTAAAGTGATTCCACAAAAAATGACTTGCCTTAAGATGCATCCATTTATGGAACAGGTTAAATTATAGGTTATTGTCAGTGGGAGTTTCACCATCAGCTGTACTTGCGTGGGATTTGCTTTCTGGTAGCAGTTTATATATCAGCCGACTTGCCTATAACAGGTGTGGAAACATGTTTGCACAAATGCTGTTGGAATGATTGTGTTGTCTTTAAATAAGCATTTTCACTCAGATGTGGTCAATTATTGAGGTAGATTAATTATAACCTCCTGTATATCATTTTAGAAAGACATAGTGTAAGGAGTCCTTCCTGCTTCTCTTTGTGCTCCTTCCCAAGTTGTATTCCTCTAAGGTCTTTAGAAATCTCCAGTAATTGAAGCTTTCTTTGACTTGGTAGGAACCATCATTGTACACTTCCCACCTGGATCCATTTTATTGACAGGAACATATAGCCTCATGGAGCCATGATTTCTTTTTTCTCCCCCATTGTCTAGAAAATAGGAAAGAAATTTGTATGTTTTACTATTTGTAATATAAGTCCACAAAGGCAGTGAGTTGCCTCAGAAGATAGAGAGATCACAATGACTGTGTTTACATAAAGATGAGATGGCTTTGTGTAAGATAGGATAGCATGAATTAATGTGACAGTTCATGGCCAACCTAGAGGACTTCTAAGGTCTGGTCAGTCTCTTATGTTTATTGCATAATCTTAATGATTTTCGATGTTTTCCTTATCTCTTTTTCAGTCACATCATTCAATACTTTAAATCATATATTCTGGTTTTTCCTTTAAAAGTATTTTGTAGAAATCAAGGGATTTTCAACCCATGAATGTGAAGCAGAATTGTCCAATGATAATTGAACCCCTGCTTGTATTAAGAAAAGAAAGAAAATTTTGACTGTGTTTACAGTTGGGCTGATTGACTTTTCTTTTTTCATAGAGTGTGAATATGACAGACTTAAATGGGCAGACGCCTCTCATGTTATCAGCTCACAAAGTACGTGGGTAAGTGATTTAATTGAGTTGCTTCATTCAGATTATTGGTTGTAACAATTTCTTTTCTGTGCATATAATTTTAAATATCTCAGTCTATGTGGTATGACCCTACATTCTAAAGAAGAAAAGATTTTTCCACCTTGTGGCTATGATATGGTCTTTTGATGTAGTTCTAAGTTCTAGTTAGGAAAGCACCATTGAAATACATTTTCTGATAGCTTTGAGGGAAGTTTGAAAGTTACTCATAAGTTAAAAAAAAAGTCCTTACAGATGAAGATTTTATAGCATATACTCCTTAGCATGACTTACATTTCTTGGTTTGCATTTTTGAAAAATGACTGTAAGCTTAAATATTCTCATAATTTGAAATTTAAATGATAAATCTGAATTCAGGAGAACATGTTTTGAGCTTCTCTGACATCTGTGAAAGTATTATTGTAATCTATGAGAAAGGCCTGGTTTTATGTTCATATCAGATACATATCTAAGTGTTTCTGTGTATTTATTTTATAAACATGTGTTATTTTAATGACCAAATAACCCAACTTCTGGTCATCTATTCAAATTCATCCTGCAGTTTTCCTTTTATCCGTTTGTTTCTAACGCTGTACTTAATTTCTGATTAAGTAAAAAGTAAGCTTTTACTCAGGACTTCTAGAAACTAAGTTATTTCTGATGTCATTTACTTTTTGTCCAAGGAGTGGTGGGGCTGGATGCAGAATTTTGTTAAAGACCATTTTATCTTTTTCACTATTAACTCTAACGTTGGGCATAGTGTTTAAGGATCTTAATCGAATGAGCAAAGTAGAATATTGTTTTATTAAAATAATTTCTTGAATAATCATGAAAGAAGCAATGGTACTGATGATAAAGAAGTATTATATTAAATTCTGTCATTTGTCCATAACTTTCTAAGATTCACAAGTATTTTTGACAGTGTTTAAATTTGATTTATTTACTAATTGACCCAGAGAATGTGACGTTAGCTTTTGGTTCATCTACTCAAATATATTATTTCACTTTTAGTCTTTTTTTTTTTTTCATGAAATACAAAATTTTATTTAGATATTGTTTAGAGTAGGGAGAACAATCTTTACCAAGAAATACCAGGTGGAAAATGGGTTCCCAATAGAATTGAATATTAGGGCAACAAAAAGAGAAATAGCACCATTGTCATTTGAACACTGGCTGGTTACTTACATTTTTTGGCCTTGTTGATCATTGAATCTGGGTTCCCTCCAAATTCCACATAGAGCATGCAGTACATAATAATTTTATCATAAAATATCTACCTTCAGAACACATTTTAGGATGAGCTAACACCAAAAACAAATCAATACAAATGCATCAGTGGTTGAACTATTCTCAGTACTGGATGAACACAGTTTGCAGAATTCTGCCAAACTGTTGGCAAAACCAACAAAGGAGATAGAATGAAATACTTTATTTTTTAAAAAATATTAATAATTCAGATATGGTACTGTATTTTATGCAAGAGAAAATTAGCACTTTGTAACATGCTGTTTTGTCACCAAAGAGATTTAGTGCATTGACAAAAGCTGGGTAAAGTGGAGGGTGATGGAGAACAGGTACCAAAAACACCCGGCTTGCAGGTCCTGAGGAAGCTATGGCCTTCATTCATCACTCCCTTTGTCAGAGGTCCAGAAAGAACTTGGCCAATTTAATATTGACCAAAGTTAAATTCATGATTAAAAGAAAAAATACTAAAAATGCTAACCTATAGAAGAACAACATGAAAGTAAAAGTTTGAAAAATGAAAGCAGTTATTCTACCATATTGATGTTATCTATGTAGTAGACTGTCACTTAATAGGTTACTAGGGGTGTGAGGGACCTCTTCTGTTAGCACTCTGAATAGAACTCTGCACAAAGAAGTTCTCAGTTGCTCAGAATACTTACTGAATGGTTAATTGAAACATTAGTTTTGAAGATTCTTAGTTTGCAGTTATCCCTCAAATCATGTTCTCTGTTAATATTTTATTGCTTCGAGACAGGCCAGAACCAACTGGATTTCTTTTAAAATTTAATGCCTCTCTGAATGTGGTTGATAAAGTACAGCAAAACACTCCACTCCACTGGGCAGTTGCAGCAGGAAATGTTACTGCAGTTGATAAACTTTTGGAAGCTGGTTCTAGCCTGGATGTCCGAAATGTTAAGGTATGACCAGGTATTTATTTATCTCCCATAGAAGATTTATCTCCCAGCTAGAAGATTGATACATTAGCATAAAGATAACCTATACATCTGTTTTCAGTTCCCACAAGGTAGATATACATAATAACTGTTGGTTATCCTTGGAATAAATGTGCTGAGTCTGTAATTCTAGTGAGTTTTTATAAAATGTTTAGCACCTTTACTGTATTGAAACTATAACTGACTACTTTATTTCTTTTTTAAGGGCGAAACACCGCTTGATATGGCTCTGCAAAGCAAAAATTGGCTCATTATTCACATGTTAAAATCAGAAGCCAAAATAAGAGCCAACAAAAAATTGAGACTTTGGAGGTGGCTGCAGAAATGCGAGGTATTTTCATGTGGGGCCTATTTTGCGGGCACTAATAACTTTTAGTTTGTTGGTTTGGGTTTTTAAGGTTTTAAGGGAAGCCAGAGAGTTAGCTTAGTGCTGCATTATTTTGGCATTGGTTATTTCTGATTATTTCTTACCCAGTTATCCCACAACCCCAAATTGGAAATTTGGCACTGAGGCTGGTAGTTTATTACTGGTCCTCAGCTAGAAGGCTCTGAAAGTACATGTCACCTAGTGAATATCCTGGTGTGCTTCCACACTTATTCAAGGAGTGAACTGAAGTGCCCATGTGGTTTAGATTCTTAGAGAAGCAGAAAGAAAAATACCTTGTTGCAAAGAATTTTATAGGAGCTTTTCTTGAAGAACTTGTTCCTTACTAAATTTTTTTTTAAAGGAAAATACTAACATTCAAAAATGTCTTATTACATAATAATAACTCTTAGTCTCTGAAAAATACAGTGATTACCAGAGAGGATGAGGGGTAGGGGAGGTAGGAAGCCCCTAGGGCTTCCATGGAGGGTGAGTGAAGCCTGTGCACATGTCAACGGGTGAAATTGTACTCCCCGAATTATATAGTTATGTAAACGAATGGCAAATCAATAAAATTGGATTAAAAGAAGTTTTATTAGAATGATAAGTTAGACATTAAAAATGACAATGCTGTAAACTTCAGTCATATGATGTCACTTCATAAACTCAGAAATATCTGGGACTTTGAGAGCTGTAGCTCAATTTTTATTCATTTTTTATATTTGGCAATTCTTCTGGGTGATGTTCTTCCAAACTTAAAATTGAACTGCTCAATAGAAAACGTTAGGAAGTTCTGTTTGTTTTTGTGAAAGACCAACAAAATCTAAGTCCTAATAGTGACTGTAACTCAAATTGTTAAAATAAGTTATTGAGTTGATTCTACTCTTTTTTAATGTTTTTAAATATACGAGAGTAGCATCATCGTATCTAATTATACTTTCAGAATGATTCTAAATTAACAGCCATGACCAGTTTTCTATGCTGAGGGTCATTATGAATAGCACACCTATTTTGCATTTATGTGGAGGGAGATAGAAAGAAACAACTGTTACTCCTCAGTCTCCTTTACCAACTCCTCTCCTTTATAGGTATCACACCCCGGGATTTTGTCCTGGACCTCTTTTCTCTCAATTCATTCCCTTGGCGATTTCATGCACTTCCATGACTTTAAATGCCATCATCTGTATGTGGACAACTCCTCCACTTATCTCTAGTTCAGACCTCTTCAGAAGCATATATCCAGTTTCCTACTTAACTTACCCCGTTTAGTGTCTGATGGGGATCCCCAACATAACATACCCAGAACTGAACTCCTGGTCGCCTCTCCACCCCTCTCCAACAATCCCATCCATTGCCTTCCTGGTTCTCACTAGGTGGTCCCTCCAGCTTTCAAGTTAATTCTAGTTAATTTTTGCCTTTTCTCTGTCATACCATGTATCCAGTCCATCCGAAAAACATACTGGCTAGTTCTGTCCTCATTATATATCCAAAATTTGACATCTTTCCACTCCACTACTGGTGTTTCAGTCTAGTCTCCATTATCTTTCATGCACACTACTGCAGTTGTCTGACATCTCCCACCCCTACTCTCTAGTCTGTTCTCAACACAGCAGCCAGATAAATCTTTTAAAATGTAAGTCAGATCCTGTCAGTCAGAATCCTCTGAAGTTTTCCCCTTTCTCCTAGAATAAAAGCCAAATTTCTTACAATGGTTTACAAAGTGGTGTGTGATCTAGCTTCTTAGATACTATAAAATTCACTTAGTTTGTCTACCCATGCTAGAATTTAAGGAAAACAAGACCTTAAATTAAATGATGTGTACCTGGATTCATGCCTGGCATCCAGTATGCCCTCCGGTGTTTGTTGAATGAAAAGACACACTATAAGAATGGAATATCTGGGATTGTAAATTTGAGGTCCACATATTTTATTTCTATTCTAAGGTTTGTTATTTGTAGATTCTAAATTTACTTATTAAAAAAAATCTAAACTTGCTCATTTTGTGTTATACAAATGAGAAGCATTTTAAAGATTTGCTGTCATTCTCTGTTGATGTCAGAGAAGGAAAATCAAAGAAAATAGAACAGGATATATTTCTTCCTTTGCTGCTGCAAAAACCCTGCTTTCTTCCAAGGTCACTCTATACTGTATATCGCAATAAAGGGGCTGCACTACACTAATGTGGGCCCAGCCTGGTGTAGTCACTCATGCAGTTTGGTTCCTCACTGTTTCCATTCTTTAAGTTAAACCTGGCAGCATCCTGAGGACACGTTTTCAGTCTTTGGTCTCTGTGTGACATTTGGAGAACTATTCCCTACTTGAAACTCTCTTGGGCTTCTGGTTCTTTCCTTCTGCTAGTCCTTACCCTGCCTTTCTAGACACTTCTTCATTAGTATTTTTCTCCTAAAATGTTTATGTTGACCAAGATTCTCCTTTTTCTACCTACACATAGCTCTTGGGATATCGGTCTTTGTGGCTTCATCGCATATTGATGAATTCCAGACTTTCTCCCTAGATCTGCTGTTCTGCGAGCCTGATGGGCATCTCCTAGATGTCCATACCCATTTAAAATTCCACATGTCCGAAACCAAACACATCTTTTCTGCAAGCCTGTTCCTTCTAACCTTCTTAGTCAGGGAATGGCACTGTGCACACCCAAGTTGAAAGCTTATACTCCTCTCATTGAGTCTTGGACATCTTCATTTTGATGTGATCCCTTTATGCTTTCTGACGCATAATGCTGCTTGAAACAAATTAAACAGTTTGTTTTTAATGTCAGCTACCATAAACACTTTTTCAAAGACCACTATATGTTAGAGGGGAGGAAAGCAAAACAAAATGTTTAAGTAACACTTTATAAAATGTAAGGACTTTTCAAAAATTTGTTCCCAAGATTTGTAATGTCTCAAATTTATCAATCTGCAATTTTCAAGAAAAGCTGTTTTTGCTGTTGTAGTGTTGTTATATATTTAGGAAGTAGTTCTGTTAAGCCAATTATTATGAGATGCTTAGGAGGTAAAATCCATAAAGTTCTAAAATTCTGAATCTCTTACTAGCTCTTCCTGCTGCTGGTGCTTTCTGTGATTACCATGTGGGCTGTTGGATTTATATTGGACTTCAATTCAGATTCTTGGCTTTTCAAAGGATGTCTTCTAGTAGCATTGTTTTTTCTGACATCTTCATTTCCCAGGTGTGTATGTTACTCTTGCAAGGCTGGTTATTGCATTATTAATTTGATCACTTATTTCTATTGTTGGTTAGCTGGAATCACAGATTTTACTGAGCTCTCAATGTTAATTTACCACATAGACGCATTCTTAGAAATGGTGGGAGGGAAGGGCTTTGGTAACATATGATTTGGCTGAAAGTATGTTAATTAAATTGGCAATTGGTGGAAAATAAGTATCCTTGCTCACTTTTAGAATTGTTAATAATAATTTGATAAATAATGAGGCTCTGTAACTATGTTACACTTTGAGGCATTTTTTTGCCCTTTTTTCAGAAATTTTATGTTTTCCTTTTCTAAATCTAAATTCATTTTAAGCTAGTTATTTTTGTTTTTACTGATTTTTAATTGAAATAACCAATTAAGTCATGGGAATTTATAAAATAGTAACTATGGTATGGCTCTATTTTCAAGAAAATATTTATAGAAAGTTATATTTAGTCACTGATTAAGAGGTAGATTGCTTGATTTCAAGTCAAACTTGATCATGTAACAGTCTGACCTGAACGAGTTGCTTTACCTCTCTGTGCCTCAATTTCTTCTCCTTTAAAATGAGCATCTTTGTGCCAATGCCCTCCTCATGGTTAATACATAAACAGTGGTTAGAACCTTTACTAACCATTGGTTAAATACACAGAATCCAATAATCATATCACATTCCAGTCTCCTCACTTCCCTTTCTCAGTAAAATGGCATCCAATTCCTCCCTGGGTGTCATGCCTGGATCAATGTCATCCTCAGGGAGGGAAGAACTTTCCCTTCTCTTCACTTTCCACATCCAGGCCCATTACGAAGTCTTTCCTACTGTGCCTTCAATTGGTCTGCTCTTTCCTCTCCTTGGTGGACACCCTAGACTAAGCCTTCTAGCTAGTCTCAGACTTCAACTCTTAACCCCTCTCTTTCATCCCCACTTAGCCCTCCAGGGTACTCTTTAAAAGGCAAATCAATTTCTGCCTATTCCCCCTGCTTAAAGCCCTCCAGGGGCATTTCCTTGTACTCAGAATAAAATCTAAACTCCTTGCCTATAAGGTATTATGTTATTCATTCCTCCTCTCTGAATTCATCCCTTCCTCCTTTTCCCTTCACTGCTCTCCAGCCTCCTCTTTGTTTGCTCAGTACATCAAGCTCATTTGCACCAGAGGTCTGGGTTCTCACTTGTGTCTTTGTCGGAAGTGTTCTGACCCAATATAACGTATAACTGGAGATAACATTTAGGCCACAGCCCCAAGATCACCTCCTTAGCGAGGCTGTCCCTGCTGCATCACTCCAGTTTACTTTCTTTGTCGTGTTGAATCACTGCTTCCTGGATTGCAAGATCCATACTAGCTGGACACTTGTCTCTCCTCTTGAACCTTTTCACTGACCAAATGAAAGAAAAATATAGTGATACTTGTCCACAGAAAAGGATCTAAAGGGAAATCCTATGTTGCTCTCTTCAGGGGTGATTATGAGTGTTTCCACATCCATCCTTTGCTTGCTAGCATCTTTGGAATAAGCATAAGCTGCTTTTTTTTCATAAGGAAAAACAAAGTATTAGAGGAATGTTACCACTTGGTCACTTATGAGCAAGACTGCTGGCTGGAGATGAATTTGAATTCAAATGTAAAGTTAAAGCTAAAATTTCTGAAAAATAGCAAAATGCCTAAAATTGTCTGCTATTTAGAAATCTTGGAGCTTAAGAGATATTCATTCATTTTCCACTAATTGGATTGATGTGGTCTCCAGATTTTAAATTTTCAGCTAAATCACCTGGCATCCCAGTTATCACTTTGGTTTATTGTTTGCTTTTTCCAGTGAGAAAGCAAGGATTAGCAATAGCTACTCATACCCGACAGGGGCTTTTGAAATTTTGTTTGCTTTAGTAAAAATCCAGATTATAAAAAAATTACATGAAAACTTGTTTTTGATGACTGTGAGATGAGGGCTTTACATGCTACACTTGGCACATGGGCATAATTCAAATGGCAGCTTTGTCCGTGCTGCTTTTATTTATCCCATACTCCTCTGTAAAGTCCCTGTTTCATGAAGGTAAGCAGCTGCAGACTTCTATAAGCAGGCTCCAGGGACGGTTGCTTATTGATCCAGGCTGCCATGTGATATGTCAGAAGTAGACAGGTCACAGAAGTGGGCTCTTAGAAATTAGGAAGTTCGCTGCACTACATAATTAGGCCAAACACATTTTTGCTGCATAATCTCAGGTCATGCTCTGGAGTGACCCGGGTTCCATTCTAAGAACATACTGTGTGCCTGAGGTTTGGGATCTTTTTTCTTCTCAAATACTGTTTTTTCAATTATTATGCTTATTATCCTGATAGCTTTTTAAAAACCCTTTTCATATCCATCATCAACTGTTGTTTCTTCTGGGAATAAATTTTTAAGTAAAGGCAAGTAAACTATATTTATGCATAGATTTACTGGACACAGTATTTAATATAAAATATTTTTTTTCTTTTGAAACTATAATGTCAAACAGTTGAGTAAGTTATATGTGGACTTCAAGTTGCCTGTTCCAAGTGAGATGGAAACAGTTGAGCCTTTATGTGTCTTTTTATGTCCAACGTCTGTTTCTCAAGATAGTTGGGATGTGAGAGGGTTTAAGGTTGTGTCCATCTGTATGTTTCAGAAATATGTTGCTAGCTCTGGAAGAAAAATGGGTAAATGCAAAGGGAACTTTGCAAGGGTTTAAATTTTGCATTTTGGAGTATTTGGAAATATGATTTGAAAAAGTATATGTAAACTGGGTGTGCCTCAATAGAAAAAAAAAGTTATTGAAAATATAAAGTTATTGTTAATGAAATAATGTATGCTCATTATAAGAACCAAAACGTTCGCTTCTTGAGCACTTCAGTTTTATGATGTGTGAAATAGGGTGATTGATGGTGCCACATAGGAAGTGGCACATGGTTTCACTCAGAAGTTGAAAACTTGTTATGTAAGGGAATCATTATTATTTAAGGGAATGCTGAACTAAACTGAATATGAATTATACTTATTTTCACTAATACCTCATGTTTATTCTTTTTTCTCCTAGGTTCTTGTTCGGGTATAAAAACTTTGTATACTTACCAGCAGCCTTTCTGCTAAGTTCCATTTTTTGGATATTTATGATGTGGTTCATGGTATTTTTGCCTAATATCCTTTAAACTTAAATGGTGACTCATTTTGCCTTTAAAAAACAGTAATGAGAGAAGAATGAACAATGATGAAAAAAAAAAAAACACTAATGCAGTTGTTAAGAATTTAGATAGTAGAAGAAATCCAGGGAATGTAACTTACATTTGTATTTATTTAATGATTCTGGTTGAAGATGTTTAATGTTGAAAATCTAGTAAATTCTGGAAATAACCTCAGAACACACTATGGAAATAGTAGGTTTCTAGTGTTTATTATCCATAAGAAGGAAACAGTAAAATAAATTATTGTCTTACTTGGACCCATAAAAATGCCTTAAGATCTCTTCAAGGCCAAATGATTCTTTGAACCTGGTCAGCAGTTGTAGTTGATTTATAAATCTTCTGGGTACTAAAATGGCTTGCATGGCAGGGATATTGGGGAAAATGTTGGCTTCCTCAGCCGTGGTCAGTGAAAATGTTATTATCTGAAGCAGTAATTCTCAACCCATGGTAAAAATAAATTTCCATCACCACCTAAAGCATACTTAAGACAAAATTTTTAGAAAACAGTATACTCCCAATGTGTGCTTTACTCTGATAATTTCTTATTTTATCCTAGTCTATTTCCCTTTTAAAAAAATTGCTGGTCACAGCTAGCACTTGCTTCTCTCATCACCTACTCATGCTTGGCAGCCCATGGTTTTAAAAAAAAAGCTCATCTAAGGAACAAGTTTATCGCTTGAGGAGAGGCACCCATGCCAAGTTCCAGTTTAGAGCTGTGGTGTGTGGTTTCAGAACTGGGGATAGCAGTTTCTTCTTAGGTTATAGCCTGTATAGCTCCTATTAGGTGGGAGGCATTTTCTCCAATTTTTAATCTTCCTACTTCTTTCCAGGTTCCTATCACTTGTTCCAAAGACCCTGGGAAGCCATTCCAGCATTGCTTTGATTATGGGGTAGGAGGAATGCAGTGGATAGAAATGTAACTTCAAGCATATTCCTTTATCTTCCATGTTATTTTTTTCTGGTAAGGACAGTTTTGGAAAGAAAGTATAGTATTTATAGGAGAAGAGTATAAACTCAAATCAAGAATATTTTGTCATAGGACTAAATAAAGTGAGAGGATTGTACACATTCTCAGAGTGCACACATCTGCCTTCATTATAGCATGCTTCTGCTTAAGGATGCTTTTTATTTCTGAACATTATGTCTAATATTTTCTCTATTCTTTTAATCTAAATGAATGGCATAGCATACTCTGGAGGTCATTTGTTATTTTTCAAAAGATTTTATTACGTTTAACCTTTGTGTCATAGCTGCTGATTTGGGGCCTGATTTTTAAGCTTTCCTTTTATTACCACCTAATGTAGGTTTGGATGATATCATTATATGTTATAAAAATACTTTAATTTATAAGTAGCCATGAGTGCATAAAATACAGGACAACATCACTTCTAGACATCTCAAAATTGGTAATTTCTAGGATAGTTAACATGATACTGAGAAGGGATGGTTGATATTTTTGTGGTATGTAATGTGGAGAAAATACAGCTTTTAAATTGTGCTTCTTTATGAGCTTTTAACTTTTGAGTACCTCACTTTATTTCAGATTTTTCACAAAATGTGAGATAGTTCTTATATTGACTCATTTCAAAGTTGCCAGGGTGGGAGGATCAAAATTAGCAAAAGTACTCCATGGTAATTTGAAACCCTGGATAACAAAGCTTAGTATTCAGTTGAGTTTTACTACAAACTGTTCAATATTTGTGAAGAGACTTTCTGTAAGGAGAGCAGTTTCTGTTGTTTCTGAATGAACTCAACATTAGAACTGATTTCCATGTCTATTATATTGTAACTGTTGTAGTTGACAATATGTGGGGTTTTGCCCATGATGACCGTAAACATAAAACCCATACATAACTCACATGAGCCTACTGCTCTTGAGGGCTGGTGAACCAGTAGGTGGCGCACTTCACCATCAGATTCATGTTTTTCAAGCTGAGTGTTAAATGCTGTTTGAGCTGCTGGGCATGAATGGATGTGCTACTCTGCAAAGACCCTCCTGGGTAATTAGAGGAGGCTTGTCTCAGATTGCCACCTTGGCCATAATGAGAAAAGGATCGGGGCACTGTGGAAATATGGTCTTCAGAATAAGTTGGAGTTTGAGCTCTTTTTCTAACTAGTTATGTACATCGTTGGCAAGTTATTAAATTTCAATGAGCCCTAGTTTTTCTGTATATTGGGACAGCAATAACAAGCTGTAAGGGTTACTGTGCTGTGATGCCTGTAAAGTATTGACCCCAGTCCCCGTTGCATAGTTCAGTTTGTAAATAATATCTATGGTTTTATAATTATTATTACTCATGAATAAAATCTATGTAGAAGACTCATGTTGAAATTAATTTTCAGGAGACATCTAGGTTGATCATTCTTCAGATGATCAGTTACTTTTGGTGCTTTTTTTTTATGTTCAGTAAGATATTTGTCTTTTATGAGGCTGGGTTAAGTGTCCTGACCAAAGTGTTTGGAAGTAAGGTTCACACTCAGGAAAGAAAAAATGACCCACTGACTGTGACATTGGTGATCCTGGCTATAGCTAACCTCAGAGTAGGAAGGATAAAATAGGGCTTCAGACAATCAACATATACAAGTTTGTGTTGTGAGAATGGCATAGCTTCATGTTATATGAAAAGGAAGCAGAAACTTTGACCAAAAGCCCAGGATAGTACACACATAGTTGTCAAGAAAGCCAGTATATTCTTCAGTGTTATCACAAGGATTTGATTTGTAGTCACTCTGTAAGGAGAGCAGTTTCTGTTGTTTCTGAATGAACTCAACCTAATACAACTACAAGGATTAGTTACTAAATTTTCTAATAGGACATTTTTGCAAGCATTCATTTAATATTGGTGGACTTTCTGAATAAAGTGATTTGTTTCTCTGTATGAGATTGTTAAAATGATCAGAAAATATTGTTTTAGATGCTGACAGGAGAGGTGCAGTTACACCAGTAAAGATTAATTTATTTGGATTTTGTATGTTTTTGCATTTAGGGATGACCCTTGTATATTGTAACTGTTCCTATCTACATTTCATATAAGTTTCAGTAATTACATGGGATTAATTGCTACTCAACTATAAGCAAATTCCTGTAGGTTTAGAACATAAGGTGGGGCCAGGTTTGGGGGCAGGAATGTATGTATGTAAGGGAAGGGGAGGCTGGAGATCAGAGAGGAAAGAGTCTTAGGCACCAGGGTGCTAGTCTTAACAGAAACTTCTTATTTCCTTTAACTTAGCTTTAACATTTAACAGGCACCCCCATCTATTTCACTTTTATTCTCAGCATAATGGGTTTCCTCTACTTTTTCTACAAGACTTGGGCAACTGATCCAGGCTTCACTAAGTCTTCTGAAGAAGAAAGGAAAACGGTGAGCTTCCACTTAAATGTTACTGATTTTTTTTGAACCAAGAGGGTATGTAAAGTGCAGAAGGTCATGGCCTTGTTGGCTTTTGTCACAGCTGATCTCTAGTGCCTGGCACTCATAAGGGGCAACATGCAGGTGGATCACATCAGCAAAAAAGTGATATTTCTCTGCTGTCATACTTATTTATTTATTTATATCAAAGTCTTTTTTTAAGATTTATTTATTTATTTATTATTTTTCATTTATACAAGTGCTGGGGTACAGGCCAGATGCGCGGGAGGGTGAGAGGATTCACCAGAGACAGAGTGGGAAACAAAACAGGCAGACTGACCAAACACACTGCTTAGGGGAGCAGCTGGTGAGACAGGAGAAGTCTGCTGCTCCATGTGGGACCCTTGCTGGCCGGTCGGGATTAAACCCACGTTGCAGAGGCTGCAAACAGCTTCACAGTGTGGCACTCAGCCGCCTGCGCCACTAGGGAGGCCCTATATTAAAGTCTTATAAAATATTTTTATTTTCTATTCAAGTAGTATCTCAGCTAGACTCTTTTTTTTTTTTTAATTTATACAAACACTGGGTACGGTCAGAAGCATGGGAGGGTGAGAGAATTCACCAGAGCCAGAGCGGGGAGCAGAGCAGGCAGAAGGACTGAAGGACACTGCTGAGGGGAGCAGCGGGCGGCAGGAGAGGTCTGCGCGCCATGTGGGACCCTCCTCCGGTGGCTGGGGAGCAGCTGGGGATCGAACCAGCGCTGCAGAGGCTGTGGGCAGCTTTGCAACCCAGCGCTCAACCGCTGCACCACCAGGGAGGCCCTAGCTAGACTTTTTGAGACATAATTTCTATTAGCAGATATGATCACCTGCTGCTTTGTGTAAGAGATAGCAATTGTTTAGCTTAAATTTTCCCACTCAATACAGGGAAGGCAATTTAGTCAGGGACCAGGCAGGGTCCTTTTTTTTTTATTGACTTGGAGATGCCCCTTCCCTTCCTTAGATGTGAAGTTGTCAGATGGCATGATGTATCTTCCATTGTGTGTGAATGATTAGAGGGAGAGTGTCATCTTCTTTATTACCAAAAGCCAGTGTCACTGGAAGACAGAGTGCTTGGTGTTTATCGTTCTGATGTGGCTTTTGTTGCTTTTCTATGCATGTATATATGTGTGTTCTCTGTAGCAGATTATAACTGGGCGATGATTGTCTTTGTGGAGAAAGGGATGCAGCTTAATTTTTATGCATTCTAATTTACTGGCTGTGGTTGAAAATGCAGCCTTGAAAAGTCACATTATTTCAAGCACAGAATGATTTGGTAGCAACTATTCCAAATTGCTTTCCTAGCTGCCTCCATTAGGAGAAAGAGCTGTGAGAATGGTATATAACCATGCATTATACATTCTTCAATAAAGCACAGTTGTAAGGTCAAACTTCATGTCTTTCAGAATATCATCACCCTTGCAGAGACTGGCTGCCTGGACTTCAAAACATTTTGTACATCATGTCTTGTGAGTGAGTCTTTCTTTATAAATTTTCCTCACAGTTAAGGCATATTCTTCATAACATTGTTCATGTAAGCGTTTGTCAAATCTTCATAGTATGTTTATACACCTTTGTTTTTATTAAGAGTCTAATTTTGTGTTACTGTCATTTTAAATTTTTTTCCTTGAACATGTGGAAGCAAGATGTTTATAATCTCTTGAAGTGGAATGATCCATAGTGTCTTTTGATTACTTTTTCCTGCCGTGAAGCCTATATTAGAATTAACTTTGAGTCAGAGGCACTTGGTCACTCTAGAGACGACTTAATGAAACCTCTCATTTTGTGGTCAAGGAATCAAAGCCTAGGAAGGAGTAACTTTCCCCCAAATTATTGGAGAGCCAGAGATAGAACTTAGCTTTCCTATTTTTGAATCCAGAGGTCATTCTGCTATGTGGTGCTACCTCATTTCCTCTTAGCTGAATAGACCCTAGAATTCAAATTCCCTCTAATGATGGTTTAATCAAAGCAGACATACAGATAAAGAGTAGTGAGGCATTCCAGTGCCTCTGTGTCAATCGATGATCAACTTGGGGTTATTTTTGCCGTATCTTTATGCTTTAAAAGTAGTTTTTTTCTTGTAATTTGTTACTGATTTTTGCTTAGGCTTCTCTTAATTGTCCATTTAGATAAGAAAGCCGTTAAGGTCACTCCATTGCCATGTGTGCAACTCCTGTGTGGCTCGATATGATCAACACTGCCTGTGGACTGGACGGTGCATAGGTGAGAGACTGAATTCTTCAGTTACCACTAGGAAGTTAACCATATGCTTAGTTAGGTGTGTGACATATAAGAAAAAATGGAAGGGCATCCAAGAGGTCCATTTTGTGCCTCTTCTTGCTAGGAAATCATCTCTATGGTATGTAATACTTTGGAAAACTAATCATCCGTTTTGATGATAATGTCATTTGCACAGTATTTTAGTGTTTATAATGCACTTTCAAAGACAGAATCTGTTTCATCATTGGAGCACATCTGTGAGGTTGGTGTTATTATCTCATCGCCAGGGTCAAGAGGGCAGCACATACAAGAGTAGGGCCTGGTTACCTGGCACCCTTACTCTTCTGTGCTCCCATAGACCTCCCTCAGGCTGCAGGTTGCTCCGCTTTTGCTCTATACAGTGCCTGCAACTTATTTATTTATTGCTGCTCCTCAGATTGTTTTCTCTCTTCCCCTGATGAAGTCAGTCCTTGATCAGAAGTTAAACTCATATGGACTTAATACATGGCAAGAAGAGAGATGCAGGATATGATTCTGCCCTTCTCCCTTCCTCCAATGTACCAAATCATCTTAGAGCCGTATATGCTTAGTAAATTTGGTTCTATCCAAAAAAAAAAAAAAAATCTTCTTTTAGGTAGGCAATGAATAAATATTAACTAACATGGGCAATTGACCATGACATATCAGTGCTGTTTAGTTTTGGTTTAATGGTATTTAAAAGCAAAACAGCACCTTATTTTTTTTTACTTTGGTGAAGACTTTTGACAGAAAAATGGCTGATAAGGTCTTGAACTGGAAAGTCACGGTAAAAGAGTGTAAAGTATACTGTTTTTCTTTTTGATGTAGGTTTTGGCAACCATCACTATTACATATTCTTCTTATTCTTCCTGTCCATTGTGTGTGCCTGGATTATGTATGAATCATATACCTGTAAGTATACCTTTTTTTTTTCTTTTCAGCAGGCTCATGTACCACACCCACACATACTTTTCCTTGTAAAGGCTTGTATGTCACATTCTGGTCTGAGTGACTCTCAATCATACCCCTAGTAAAAATGAAATGGATACATCTAAGACTACTCTCAGCATGGGAAAGCTACAAGAAATTCCCAAAGAGCTTAGTTGTCAGTAGAATGGAGGAGATTGTACTCTTAAAGTGACCTTGTTAATTTGGGAAGTTGTCAAAAATACAAATTCATTTGAGGCAAATGCAGCTTTATTTCTCTGTGATGTAAGGAAAAATCAGCTGCTGAAATACAAAGCAAGAAAGTGAAGAGTAAATCAAGTAGGAGCAAAGGAAAGGTTAGTGGTGGAAAGTTAGGGGAGGAGGAGATGGTCCCAGTCATTATAGAACAAGACTCTGAAATCACATGCCACTGATACATAGCAAGTCCCAACTTAGAACTGATGGGAAAACTGTAACAATCATTGAAAAGTTGGAAATAATAACTTGGGAGAAAGCATTAGATCTTGTACTCCGCATGCCTGAGAAAGGAAAATAATTTCAGTTCAGTATAAAATGGCCTGTCAGGGTCTCCTGAAGGGAATGACATCCAGCTTGACTAAGAACAACAGGGTTTTTATAAATCAGAGACATTCTGCAAGGGAGGGGGAGGTAGAAGAATCAAAACAGGGGAAAGAAGAGCACAAGGTTCTCTCAGTTCATGGGTGAGTTGGTGGTGAGAACTTTATGGGGAACACCTGAGAGGAGAAAGCATACAAGCATACATTGTACAAAAATGATCTCGATCTCTCTGTCTCTCTCTCTTTTGTGTGTGTGTGTGTGTATATATATATGTGTGTATATATATATGTGTGTGTGTATATATATATATATATATATATATTTAGCAACAGGGTTTAAATCAAAGCAGGAAGAATTTTGGTTAGCTCTCAAGAATTGCGGGACATGCTTTTCAACCTTGGAAAAACATACAGCTCTTGTATTGTCTTTATTTTGAATTTGTTTGACTGTTTTCAAGGCTTTGGGAGAATTGGGCTCTAGAGTCAGAGGCTTTGCTTCCAATCCCTTTTTTCCACCCTTCTATTATATTCAATCTCAGGGCTTCGGTCGTGCCAATAGGATACTAGTTTGTTGCAGGGGCTAATCAGGAATGATCCAGGAAGACTTTATAAAGTGTTTCCCCTCTAGTTTTTCTCTTTTTTCCTTAACATCTCATGTCCCACCTCTTTCTTCCCTCCATTTCCCCTTCCCCACTTTGATTTTCCTTAGTTTAAAATTTTGTTTAGTTTTTGAAAGAGAAGTCTCCTGTGCTGTCCCTTAGCCCTCTCAATTTCCCACCCCAGAAATATCCAGTTTTACAAGTTTTGCTTTGTTTGGGGTTTCATTTTTTAGAGATTGTCATTAACATCTATTTGAAATTTTTTCCTTTTGGCCCTGCCATGGGCATGGAGAGGGGTTCAGTTACCTCATCTGCGCCTTTCCTACCTGGCCTTGGGTGCCTCTGATCATTAAGGAATGCTTTTGTAGCTCATTGTAACCAGTGATGTCTAAAATAGATCTGATAGTAAAAAGGCTGTGATTCCTGATCTCAGTTCTTGTGAAAGGCTCAGTAATCCCAAGCACTGGAATTTTAAAACCACTTAGATTCTGTCCTGTGGTGTAAGAAATAAAAGATTTACCAAGTGCCTCTTTCTGTTGAAAGAACTGCCCTTTTAAAAGGCCTAACAATAAAGCATATTCCTGGAAAACCTTTTCAAAAGGGTCCATGGACCAACTTGTCCCTTGGACTTGATCCTAGGGGAGAGAGCCAGATTTTACACTACTCTTGTCTGTCTCTCATCACTAAAAATAGTCACCTTTGTTTAGTGTCTGTGTCCAACATAACGCTGTATTGATAAGGACAGAAGTAATTTTCCATCACAGTGAGTCTTTCCAAGTTGCTTTCTTATTACAAGCGTTGGTTCTTCCCTGCACTTTGTCGTTTTTCTCTGACTCTGAGTCGATTTCTATGTGATACTTTGTTTCTGAGGAATAGTCGCACCTTACTTTCACTTGAACATATTTTGTTACTTTTATCCCATTTATATTCTGATGCTATAGCTTTGCAGTGAATAGGATATCATGTCATTTATCATTATTTCTCAGACAGAAAAAATAAACGTACTCCATGTTTCTAATGAAGCGTCACCACCATCCCATCTTCTCTGATTACTGTTAATTAACACTTCTGTTACCAGAACACTGCTGTAACCCTTTTCATGTAATCCGATTGCAACTCTTTTGGCTCTATCCATCTTATCTTCTGTGAGGTCTGTTCTTAGAGTGGACAGTAAATAATACAGAAAGTGTTTCAGCCTCCTGCACGTTACAGGGAGAAAGATTTAAGTCAGTGTTAGAAAGATCTTCCTAACTGTCAGAGCTATCTAAAGATGAAAACAATTGACTTGAAACAAAGTGAATTCCTTGTCATTAGCCAATGCCCATCTGTCTAGAATGCACATGACTAACACATACTGAAATGTTTGACTGTAAAATAATGTACACGCTCACTTGCCAGCCTTACCTTTGATATTAAATCTGAAATCAATCCTATGAAGACTTCGTCTGAGTTCATGCTGTGTTAACAAAAGGATTCCTGGAAGAGAGCAATAGAAATCCGTAGCTGAAAGAAAGTAGATATTTTTTTCCCGCTCAGCCACTGTTTCTTCTTTCTTTTCTTGGAAATGATACTCTTTGTTGTTGTATCAGGTGCGTAGACTGCATCTTTCTTTGCTGTACTAATGAGAAGCTCCAAAGCAAGTGTAATTTGCTTTAATGTGTTACCTTGATTGTTACTCTGTGGTGATTGCTCTTAGAATGCTTCTGGCATATATTCACAAAAGGTAGTTGGGAATAAACCAAATGAGACTCAAAAGAGGAGAAAAAAAAACAGATTTTTAGGGCCAACAGAAAGGTGATAGTAAAGTCACAGACTCATTTTCCTCCAGTCCTAGGAGCTCTTAAGTGCTGCTTTGGAAAAGTGTCTAAAACTACTTATCAAACTGTCAGAGATATTTATGAAACCTCAAGATACAGATCTACAGAACTCTCATCTCTGTGAATTCTATAGAATTCACATGGTCATGGTACCTGTGGAAGCCTCTAGAGTTACATTACCTTGAAATCTGTTCTCTTGTTTCTGCTACTTCCTACCTGTATTCTTCTTAGCTGCATGGATTAGGGAGTCAATATCACGAATAGTGAAATTCTATCTTTTTAATGAGCATATAAGTAGATGTTCCTGGGAAGAAACTGAGCTGTGGCCATGTGAATCTTGCTCTCTGTTCTTTCCTAGGGGTGTCTGTCTCACGAATCCCCTCACTTGGCCTCTCTTGCTCTAGAATAAATTAAGATGCCAATGCAAAAGTATACCAGTAACTGTTCATTTATGTTCTATTGGTATCTAGGGGCCTGTAAATTACCTTGTGTTTAAGAATGGCCTGTTGGTCCGAACCCTAAAGAGTTTATATTCAGTTCCGTAATGGTACATAACGTGGGAGAGGTAGCTTTCTAGGACAAATATTTATTAAATATAATCATTCTCAGTTGCCATGTCCTTGAACAATTAACATCTGGCCAGTGCATTTTATGCTGATAATGCTGATTTTAGTTGTGGCTTTTTGAACCCTTTTTGCTTTTATTCCTTCACTGTCAACTGCTGATGCAGTGTTAGACCCTAACAGTAAAGTACCAATTTTTCATCTTTGTTTGCTGGACTGGCGTTTGAAAGATAAAATCTTCAAGTTGAATTCTTGTCTGTGCCATCGTGTCTTGCTTTCTCTGTGCCTTAATTAGAATTGCAGTGATTTTAATCTTCCTTTAGAGTGGTCACTTGTCTGCTGCCTTTTTAAATAATGGGCTCCTTTTTGTGTGAATTCACAGATTGGTCACATCACTGTGTCACGACATTCAGAGAAGATGGACCGTGGACCTACCTCAATCAGATTGTGGCCTGTTCCCCCTGGATCTTATATATCTTCACGGTAGCAGCTTTCCATTTCTCATGGTCAACATTTGTATTAGTTAATCAGCTCTTTCAGGTATTTCACTTCTTATTATGCCTTTGAATGAAATTCCCAATACCCTGTACTAAGAACAAAAGACTTACTTTTCAAATCAGAAAACTTTGATCCTGCTTCCACCTCTCTGGGACTAGACATTGCCTCTTATTTCTGAATTGCAGTTTCCTTGTCTGTAAAATGGGGATAATAGAGTCTCTTCTCTCACAGGATGGTTTAAATGTTAGTATAACAAACTGTTATTACTGGCCCTAGAAGTTATCTAATCTGACCTCTTTATATTACCAGTAGAAGTCCAGAGAGGTAAACTGAATTGCTTGTGCTTAAGGTGAATTGAATTGTAAATGGAAATAGCTGAACTGGAAATGTAGGTCTTCTGACAGTCCCACTCAGGGGCTTTTCCCATCACACAATTAAGTTATATGGTGTATGAAAGCATGGGATGACTGTAAAGCATTCTGCAGATGTGAAATGTTTATTTTCCCTTACTTTTGCCAACCCTGCTTGTTATCCTTATTATTATGATGTAGTTCTTAAGTGGGTAGAAATGGGGAAGCACTGAAAAATACATTACTAAGCAATGGACATGGTAGTTACACTTTCCAGGAAGGCCGTGGCCTCCAGGGCAGCAGTTACCTGCAGCTTTCTACAAGGCTCCTACTCTTCCCTGCAGCCTGCCTTCCCCCGTGGGCATAACCTAATTCTCACTGTTGCTATGGCCTGCCTTCATGGAATGGACAGCCATGGTCAGTCTGAGCCTATTACTGCAAGACCACAGATGATTAGAGCATTACTCAACAAAAGCAAAATGTATTCTACTTTTATGGGGGGTAAATATTTCTATAATAATAAAAAAGAGCAAGCAGGAAAATGCTAAGGCAGGGGATTAAGCTAATAAGACTGACTGACTGACTGACTGACTGACTGAACTGAGGTTTCTGGACATTCATCCCAATCTGTCCATCCGACATTTACATACTCAAGTAGTAAGAGTGGGTGTTAACCTCAATGATTATTAATTATTACCATTTGTAGTACCTAATATTTATATCTGCTAGACATATGCCAAAGCACTTTCCCATCTATTTCCTTGAAAACATTTGAGGTATAGACCATGGCAAAGTAGTGTCTCCATCTCATGAATGAGGAAACGAAGCCTAAGAGATCTGAGTCCTTGCTTGTGGACATATGGCTAGTAGTAGATGGAGTTAGAAGGAGAACCTAAGATTTGAGTCATCAGTTCTAATTCTCTTCTTTTTTGGAAAAAAAACAAGTGCAAGTATATATGAAACTACAATAGTCTTAATTTTTTAAAAGAAAAGTTGATATATTTGTCTATAAGGCAGGAAAGTAGATTCAGAGTTTTGCATAGTTTTCAGATGCAGGAGTTCAGAGTAAAGTTGTTGTTGTTTTTTTTGTTAAGATTTTTTTTTATACAAGAACCAGAGTACAGGCCAGATGCGTGGGAGGGTGAGAGGATTCACCAGAGACAGAATGGGAAACATAACAGGCAGACTGATGAAATACACTGCTGAGGGGAGCAGTGGGTAAGACAGGAGAGGTCTGCTGTACCATGTGGGATTCTTGCTGGCCGGCCGGGATCGAACCGGTGCTGCAGAGGCTGTGGACAGCCTCACAGGGCTGCGCTCAACTGCCTGCACCACCAGGGAGGCCCTAAAGTTGTTTTCTTAATGAGCAAAACAATTGAGTTATTTGAAGACTTTTCATTTCCGGAGTGCTCTGGTGAGTCATGGAGTTATTGTAGTGAGTCAAGCTGAGCTTCAGGGACTATTGGCCAGGACCAGTGTGGGCTTTATCCCCACACTGACCAAAGTGTTAGTCTCAGTTCTGCCACATCCTAAAGTATGTGGCCTTGGACTAGTCAATTCACCTCTGTAACTCTCTGCGCTAGATATTTTAAATGTTTTACCTCAAATTCTTAATCTGGTGAGGATTGTGTGATGAACTTCATTTATAGTTAAGGAACTTGGTGCTTGAGTGCTTTTGAGAATTAAATGATATAACTCAGTGAATAGTGATTTTAATGATTTGGAAGTTTTAAATTACTGTAAATCTTACCCTCCCCCAAATTTATGGATTTAAATGTTCTTAGATCATTAACTTTTTAATCTGGTGCTTTTCAAAGAGAGACCAAGAAGAATACAAAAGTTAAGATAATTGCACTGGCACTGGCCTTTTTTCCCATCTAAAAGTTGCATGTTTGAATGTGTGGAGAATCTAAATATGGTTTAAGTCAAGATTTGAGTTATTAAAATAATTATTTCGTGACTGCAGGTTGGCACTGTGCTTTCTTGAAGGCTAATAAAAATCAGACCAAAAAAATACCACACTCATCTGCTTTTACATAAGAGAGTCTAGTTTCTAGCTGCTGAGTCTTTGCTATCTCCAGGATCCTTGGGCAGAAGGCTAGATGATACTGTTTTGAGGGAGTAGTGAATGTTTGCCAATGTTCCATGAGGCACCGCTAAGAGTGAGGGAGATGTGTTTTTCATGTACCTCCCAACCTGCTTTTTCAGATTGCTTTTCTAGGTCTGACCTCCCATGAGAGAATGAGCCTGCTGAAGCAGAGCAGGCGTATGAAACAGACATTGTCCCTCAGAAGAACACCGTACAAGTAAGTGAGAGCTTTTTTGGCTGCTGGGTCCTGTGGAAGACACTAGCCTAGTCTTTGGTTCCTCAACCTAGAGCCAGCACCATGCCCACACTGCTATCCTCTAACTTGCTCTCTGGTGGAGCTGTACCTCTTCTTCTTAGAAGGCTCAGTGACAGGAGGTGAGTGGTATGATCATGCAGCACAAGGGTGGTAAGAATTTGGGATTTAGTCTGCTGGACTCTGCACGAATATTAAGTGACTGTGAAGTTATGCCAAGATGGGGAATCTCTCCTGTCAAACCACACGGTCACAAGGCTGCACACTGCTGGCATGAAGTCAGTGTGAGATAAGTAAGCATGTGGCTGAGAAAGCCAGCCACAAGGCTCTCTGTGAAAGTGTTAGATGGTGAAGTTTGCCAAGATTTTCAACCTGGCTTTCTATTGCCAGCGATTCTTTTAGCTCTACATTTAATGTACGCACCTCTGTCTGGGAGAAGTTAGTTCTTCAGGTTTGGGATCTGTTTCCCCCCCTAGAGTACTGATTGTATGAAACTTGTCCTCCACTGTGTAAGTGTTTGTAAGGAGGCCATCATCTCATGATGTGAGCCTCAAGCTTTGAAGCTTATCTCTTATCACATATATTGGGGTCTAGGAGCCTGGGAGTGCTGCAGAGGTGACCCACAGCCCTCAGGGATTTGAATGCTCACTGCCTATCTCACAAGCAGTCTATTTTAAACCATTCTCGTGGTACAAGGCGAAACTGGTAAGCTGTTAGACAAGGAAATCAGAGCCTCAGATATAACTGATGTGTGTTCAGAGTGGAGAGAAACTGACTTAATTGGGAAGAGATGGCTAAAGTGATGGAAAGTAGAGAGTCGTGTTAAGCTTCTGGTGATTGTTTCAGACTGGTGGTGATGATAAAGCCCCTTTCCCAGTGGGTTAGCCGGAAGAATAAATATTTACTCAACCAAAGTGTGTAACTCTTTGGGATAGAGGTGAAATTTTAAACTGAGCCTTGAAAGATAGGGGCAGGACATGAGGGAGTGGAAGGAAGGGCATTCCAAACCCTGGAGGAGTCTGCTTGTAGGGGTGAGAAAGCTGGGTGTGTTTGGGCTGAGTAATGGCAACATAGGCCAGAGGAACTAAGAGCCTCTGTGAATCTCCCTTCTGAGTCCTGCCCAAACCACAGATTTATTTCATCTGTTCTCTCCTAAGAGACTTTTACTCCTAACCGTCTCTCAGGCTGGGCTGCATAATGTTCAGCATGCTACCCTGTCCACTCCATGTGCTCAGTCCTCTTCCTAAGAAGTTGCCTTCTGAGGAGCACTGCTGCTGTCCCTGATGGACCCCACTTAGCAGCAGCAGCAGGCAGTCAACCTCACATACACAGACATGTGTGTAGGGGGTTGGGCCAGGCACTTGAAAGATACAGGTGTATGCATAAAAGTAAATGTTCCTCATAACTGGGTGGACAGTAGATTCTTGGTGTCGACTGCAGAAAACAGAATGATACTGAAGAATGTTGTAATTTTAGGCAGGCTTCAAAGGGTAAGTGGGTCTTGACTGGGCCTTAGAAGTGATAGGACTTAACAGGATAAGGGAGTTGTCCAACCACTATGGAAAGCTGTGTGGAGATTCCTCAACCTACTAAAGATGGAGCTTCCATATGACCCAGCAATTCCACTCCTAGGTATTTACCCAAAGGACACAGAAACATTAATTCCAAAGGGCACCTGCGCCTCTATGTTTATAGCAGCACTATTTACAATAGCTAAGCTTTGGAAACACCCCAAATGCCCAAAAACAGATGACTGGATCAAGAAGATGTGGTACATATACACCATGGAATATTACTCAGCATGCAAAAAAGATAAACACATGCAATTTGCAGCAACATGGATGGAGCTGGAAGGGATCATGCTCAGCAAAATAAGCCAGAAAGAAAAAGAAAAATACCGGATGGTCTCACTCATAGCAGGAATCTAGAAAACTTAAATAAGGGACCAGGAAAAAGAATAACTATAAGAAAGAAAAAATCAAAATCAACAAACAACTTAAACTAGAGACACACTATAGGTGGGGGCGGGGAAAGGAGGGATTGGGGTCAAAATAAGGTTGCAATTGTATGGAGAATATAAAAAGAAAAAGAAAGAATATATGGTGTATATATAACCAATGGGAAAAAAAAAGGATAAGGGAGTTGCCTGAGGAAAGACTGGGGATGTGGGTTCCAGGTAAAAGAATCACCCATGCAGTTATGATCATGGGAAAAAATAGTGCCAGAGAAGCTGTAGCAGGGGTCTATAAAGATGAGTTTGGGGGGATAACACCTGAGGAGTTTAGGGCCTTGAACACAAAGGTAAGGAGTTTGAATTTGAGCCTTATGCAAGGAGTGTCTTTATGGGATTTTGATTAGGAGGTGGGGTGCTGTGACTATATCAGGGTTTTTAGGGGACCAGATAGTCCTAATATATGCGATGAATTGGAAGGAAGTGAAACAGAGAAATTATTTAGAGAGCTGCTTAGAAAGTTTAGAAAAAAACCCCTCTATTTTTTGTGATGTTTCTGACCTACCTGACTTTTGAGGTAATCAAAGTCTGAATTAGGGCAGTGGGAATAGAAGGAAAGAAACTTATTGATGGCAGTAATCATTCCAGTGAAGGGAGGACCCAAAATGAACTTACTCAGTTGCTGGGCAGAAGCCAGGGCATCTCAAAATAAAGATTCAGGTCCACAAATAGAGCTGGACTTTGGGTTTAAGATTCTAGAAGCCTATGAACTGCCTGATTCACCTCTGGATTCCTGCACAATCTTCAGGGGGTGTTGTATATTATAGATTCTCAGTGAATGTTTGAGTTTTGAATGAATTTCAAGAACTAAACAGAAAGTGTATTAAGACTTGTTCTCTTCCTTTCTTGGCAGTCTTGGGTTCACCCAGAACCTGGCAGATTTCTTTCACTGTGGCTGCTTTGGCCTGGTGAAGCCCTGTGCTGTAGACTGGACGACACAGTACACCATGGTCTTCCACCCAGCTAAGGAGAAAGTCCTCCGCTCCGTATGACGAGAAGCCACCAGAACTATCACTCTGATTTGTGTTTGCGCCTCCTCCCTGTGGTCTGCGAGTAAAGCGAAGATTAGAGTTCTCAAGAAAAACGTCATACTTTTTTTAGATATGGCAAGATGTACTGTTCCTGAGCGAACTTGGCAGACATCTAATAAAAACTTTTATATTTTCACAAGAAAATGCAAGTTACTGTTTTTTTGAGATGAGTCACTAATTAGGGATAAAATATGTTATTTTAGATACTTCATTGGCTGTTTCAAAATAGTTCTATTTCAACTTGTGATTTTTGATAAATTATTTGTTTTATCTATAAATATGTAAAAATATTTAAATAGAATTGAGGTTTGCTTCCACACTTAATTAAAAAAACACTTTTTTTATAATTTGAGACTGAGTTTTTGGTACTTCACACTTGTAGTATTGTTCCCCAACCCCCTGAGGGCCAGGATCAGTTTCCCCATTGACCGAAAGCCATAAACTGAAATACCAGGTTCAGTTTAACAGACCAAGACTTTTATTGCCCGGCAAGCAATGGAGATGAGAGAATCCATGTTAAAAACAAAACACCTCCCCGAGCTTCAGAAGGGCTCCCCATGTATCTAGGGAATTGGTGCATCATGAATTCAGGGCGGAGTCTGTACCACACACAAGGGCCCCTCTCGCACACCTCCCTTTCCCACCACAGGGCACTCAGTTGCCACCTCAGAGGTAACCATTTGCATCCAGCTCTGTGGCTACTGCCCTCCTATCTCACATTCCTGAGGAAAGGCACAACTTTGTATAAATACTCTGTCTCACAGTTCCATTTTCTTCAATTGAGAAAAGGTGTATTAAAGCAAGATTAAATTCACTTTTTCATCTTAAAAAAGTGAAAATACGAAGTCTTAGATTAATTATTATTTTTACTTAGTCCAATATATTAGACCATTGGGATTGTTAATTTCCCTTGTTCTGAGGGAAATGCTAACTTAAACTCTTGGTATTGTATATAAAATCCCCTGGGCCCGGCACTTTCCTGCTGAAAATCCTTCAGGTTCTCACTATTTGCATGGTAAAAACTATATCCTCCCCATGTCCTCAAGGCGTCAATCCTATGCCCTGCTTTTGCCTACTAGTATCGTTCTAACCTCATTGTAGGGTAAGGAAAAATGTCAGGCTTTTCTGCCCTCCCGCCATCAGGATAGATGATGGATCCTTGGGGTCCTGAATGCATGCCTGATGGCGGGCACCTGGAATAGGGTGTGGGCATAGGTAGATGGGATTCACCTGGGCTGAGACTATGCTTTTAAGGGCGGCATCATGGGGACACCAGCAGGAGCCGAGAAGCAGCAGAACGAACGGAAGAGCAGAGAAGCAGAGAGAAGGCCGGAGAGCCCAGATAGAGTGAAGACTTGCTGGGAGCTGGGAGGCCTGCCAGCCTCCCAGCCCCCCCAGCACCCTACCTGCTGTGTACCTGGTAAACCCCAATAAAAACCTGCAAAAAGCCACTGAGGACTCTGACTCCTCCTTTACCCGGTCTGCTGGGTCATAGAAAACCTGCTCTGGGGTCTTCCTGTCCCTACACACATGTTGTACTCTAACCATGCTGACCTTCCCATTCCTCAAGGATCTGGTTTCCTTTTCTTTCTTTGCAGGTAAAGACACCTAAATCCCTAAATATTTTGTGTCTTCTCCGAGTGCAATAGTGTAATCTCCATAAAAAGGAGAGGCTCAATGTTGCCCACCCCACCTGCTGAAAGGTGGAGCTAAGTGGGAAGGAGGAACTATGAGCCCTGGGAGATGAGGCTTGGAGGAGGCACCTGGAACAGAGAGATGTGGAAGAAAGAGGCCTGACTTGCTTCTTGGCTTTAGACTTGCACCGGGGACTTGAGGGGACACAGAAGGGGAGACACACAGAGTCAAGATGCACAGAGATACTTGGAAGAGACTGGGTAAGAAACCCTGGGGATGCTCACAATGGCAGCTGTTTTCTTGATTTGTACTTTCTTTTTGTCCCAGACTTGCCTGCCCCTCTGCCCTTTTCCTATGGTTCCCTGCCAGAAGATGCCTTAGACCGGTGGCAGGCTTTTGGGCCAACCCTGTTTAGCTGGGCATTTAACAACGAGGGGGTGGGTAATTTTGGGTGTTTTATTGGGAAACACCCTTCTTTTCTCTCTGCATGCTATTAAGATTCAATCTATGAATCTTACTGCCATCTTTATGTGGTGGATGGCAGAACCTCTTTAGAGCATGCAGGCTTGGCATCTCTTGCATAAGTACCTCAGTTTCCTAATTTGTATATAATAATAGTATACACCTCCAAATGTTCTAAGGATTAAATGTGTTATTGCATGTAAACTGCTTAGAATTATACTTGGCATATAGTAAGTGTTCAATACATTTTGACCATTCAGAAATCTTTTTAAAATTGACTACCGAGAGCGAGAAGCTAGAGGCAGGAGAATGTGCCTAATCCTACTCTCCTGTACTCTGTCATGTGCTCTGATGTTAGGGTTCTGAAATCACAATCTCTGTGGCAGCTCACTTTCCATTACTCTCTGCCAGCAGACTGGGAGGAGGAGGGAGAAGAGACTGTCCTGCTTGCCGGCTACTCCTCAGTGTTGTTCGGTGACCCTTAACCCTCACATGACCGTTGGAATCAGGGTCTAGCTTTTCTTCTGTGTTTCCCAAACAAACTCCATTGAGCCCCCCTTCGAAGCACCAGCTGGGCTTCCCCGGTGGCGCAGCGGTTGAGCTCTGGGTTGCAAATCTGCCTGTAGCCTCTGCGGCACCGGTTCAATCCCTGCCTGCTCCCCGGCCACCGGAGGAGGGTCCCGCATGGCGCGCAGACCTCTCCTGCCGCCCGCTGCTCCCCTCAGCAGTGTACTTCGGTCCTTCTGCCTGCTCTGTTCTCCCCTCTGGCTCTGGTGAATTCTCTCACCCTCCCGCGCTTCTGACTGTACCCAGTGCTTGAATGAATGAATGAATGAATGAATGAATGAATAAATCTTTAAAAAAAAAAAAAAAGGAAGCACCAGCAGTAACCAAGTGGATTTTGCCCTCAAAGGTACAGCTCAGCCCCTGGAAAGCCACTCCTCAAAACATCTAAACTATGTTGCACACCCCTGCCGACCCCTTTTTATTTCCCTGGTCCCCAGGTAGCTGCTTCCTGCACTTGCCTCTGTGTTGTCAGTATGTTCACCTTTCTCAAAAATATTAGTTTGTGTTTAGTCAATGCCCAATTAGAAAAATACAAAACTAGTGTGTTTTCTGGTTCTCTCATTGGACCCCGCAGTGTAAGTGAATTGGTTTGGCTTTCACACTGCCGGCCTCTGTGGCGATCACCTGCAGCTTTGATTGTGCTAATGCAGGAGGCGCGTGGGCGCGGGGCACGCGTGCCTGATGGTGGACACCTGGAGTGATGCGTGGGGACGTGTAAGTAGGCACACCCAGGCCTGGCTGCGGCTCTAAGGGCGGCGTCACCCAGGGCGGTGACTGTGGAGAAAGGCACGAGAGGACAAGTGGCAGCTGTGGGAGGGAGAGACCATGAGAGGCGATGCCAGCGAAATCCTGGAGGAAAGAGCATATAGAGATTAGCAGGGGGCCCAAGCTGCCATCTCCCTGCAAAGTTTATTCAAGAAAGTAAAGTTTTTTTTTAGAAGAAAAAGAACAAAAGCAAAGACTCCAAGGCAGTGCTGCCAAGGAGGGGCAAAAGACACTGTGTGGACCCATGTCTGGAGGACATTTAAACCGTTTTTTCTCTATTCTAAAATCTCGTCACCCTCTTTGTGATCAGCCCTCTCAGCGGCTGTACGCCCCTGGGCAGCTGTGTCCAGCTCTACAGCTCTTAGACTTTCTTTTTTTTTTTTTTTTTTTTTTAAATTTATTTATTTATTTATAAAAGCACTGGGTACAGTCAGAAGCGCAGGAGGGTGAGAGAATTCACCAGAGCCAGAGCGGGGAGCAGAGCAGGCAGAAGGACCGAAGTACACTGCTGAGGGGAGCAGCGGGCGGCAGGAGAGGTCTGTGCGCCATGTGGGACCCTCCTCCGGTGGCCGGGGAGCAGCCGGGGATCAAACCGGCGCTGCAGAGGCTGCGGGCAGCTTCGCAACCTGCTGCTCAACCGCTGCGCCACCAGGGAGGCCCTCTTAGACTTTCTTTCAATGCCCCTGTCGAAAGCCTCTTAAAATTTACTCTCATTAGCCTGAAAATTTACTGCTCTCATTTAGCTGTCCTGGATTTCTCTGTCCTTACCTTAGGAGCTTTAACTCTCCCAAAGTCCCTGCCTGCAGTCCCTGAAGTTGCCTATTTAACCCTAACTTGCCCTAGGACTCGTTGACACACATAGAATGTTAGAGATAAGCTTATAGTAATGGTCTAGGCAAGATGTAATGAAGACAGAAATAAGACAGTGACTGTGACATAGAAGAGATCCGGCAGGCCCCAGTCACTAACTGAATGTGGGATAACAGGAGAGACGGTCCAGGACGAACCCAAAGAATGAGGGGGCAGCATTGCTGTTCTGACAAGAACACAGTCCGGAGACACTAGGCGATGTGTTCAGTGGTTGGGACCTACTGAGTCTGAGGTGCTTGCAGGTTATCCATGGAAAAGTCTAGAAGGCAGCTGGAAAGGGTCAGGGCCTGGGGGCAGTCATCTGCACAAATGAATGAGGGTGTGACAGGAGAGTTAGAAAAATGAGGTGAAAATGAGGAGTTGCTGTAGGGGCAGGAATGGACCACAGTGCAGGTTTTCTGATCCAGCAGACCGGGTAAAGGAGGAGTCAGAGTCCTCAGTGGTTTTTTTTGCAGGTCTTTTATTGGGATTTAACAGGTACATGGCAGGCAGGAGTGCTGGGGGGCCGGGCGGCTGGCAGGCCTCCCAGCCCCCAGCAAATCCGCACGCTTTCTGGGCTCTCTGGCCTTCTCTGCTTCTGCTTCTTTGCTTCTCTCTTGGCTTCTCTTCAGCTTCTGCTGGCGTCCCCCCGTGACGCCGCCCTTAAAAGCCCAGTCTCAGCCCAGGTGAATCCCATCTACCTATGCCCACACCCTACTCCAGGTGCCCGCCATCCGGCATGCATTCAGGACCGCAAGGATCCATCATCTATCCTGATGGCAGGAGGGCAGAAAAGCCTGACATTTTCTTTACCCTACAGTTGTCCTGCTGAAATGGGAAGATCACTTCCCAAAAGAGATGAAAGCCAAGGCAAGCAGATAAAAAAGTGGAAAAGGAGAACGCAAACACCTTTTAGAACAGGTGTTTGTATTTA